TGACATTAAAAGACAAGTATATGCCTTTATTTTGAGAAGTATCCACCTGATACTCCAAAACTATCATATGAATCGAAAAAAAACGCTTTATTTTTGAGTTCAGAAATTAAAAAAGAAAAGAAATATATTTGCAGTATATTTCTTTTGTATCTTTTGTATCCTTGCATTTACCATCTTGCATGAATTTTAAAGTTTTTTCGTCATCAATTCATAAAACATACAAAAAACATCTCCTTTATAAAATACTAGTATACGTCAACTTAAATACTCTTACGTTTTATGTCAACACTAAACTAACAGTTAAGCTCAAAATACAATAAAACAACAATATAAATTGAGGGCAGGGTAAACACTGATCCCTGAAAACTCCGGTGGGATCAGGTGTCATAGAGGAGTAACTTGTCATACCTGTCATGAGCTCTTTGTCTGCAGCAGGTAAGCAAATTTATCAGTCGACAAATCAGTAGAAAAATTTACCATATAATTTGAAAGAAAATTAACAGTCAGTATTTAACCCAAAGACAAGTTGTATTTGTCAAGAAGGCCATTTATATCATCCATAAAATGTGCCAAAGTTAAAACAAGATTGATTTTACATTGTGAAGTCACAACTGTGGATATGTAAACGATATAATATTCCAATAACCACTGTATAAGGGATTAAACGTGATGAATTTTAAATATGAATATATGATACATATATATACATATATAAACATATATGTATGCATTTAAATTTACATGGTATAATCTATTGAGTGATTGATCAATCGTTTACTGTTTAACATCGTCGGGGGTATATTAGCCATATTCAGTTCATGGTATATGGGATTTAATCAGCCGCAGCTTTCAGACAATTTCTGAATTGTTATGTCGTCCCTCCTATGAGAAATATTGCTCATTATGTTATTGACAAAACCGTCATTAAATTATTCATCACTATAGTATTCACTCGACTGGACGTGAATTTCGTCAAAAGTATTTAGTATATAGACATTTAATTTCGATGTTTTAAACGACCAATTTATTTAAATTGAAAAATTATTCAGAACATTTCCCCTGTCCTGTTATAGAATAATTCTTGTGAGGACAGGGTTTAAAGATGTTGGCTGCAATCTTGGGCTTGGGATTCGTTCATCTTGGACTTGGCTATATTGTGTCCGAATGGGAACAGCCAGGTAAGTAGAACTTTAAGAGGCCTTGATAAAATCTTTTGATCATGCTACCACTTTGCATAATTATGCAGTGAGTGCTTTTTTTAATTTTTAAATTAAGACAGAGAAAGAGAGCGTTATATATTTGTAATAGATTAAAGCGTTCACATGTGCAGCATATATACATTTCTGTGTCTACATAATAATTTAAACGTAGCTATTTAATTATTAATTTAAAGTAAAAATTGGATTTGTGACTCAGTACAATAGACGTTAAATTGAGATAGAATGGTTTTGAAAATGGTGAAAAATATTTTACTATTGTTGCAGTTTGTCCCTTCGTTGAATGTCAGAACGCTGGAACATTGGATTTATCTAGCTGTCGTTGTAACTGTTCCTCAAACTATTTTGGATTTTTCTGTGAAAAAAGTAAGTACGAACAATTCAAAAAACTTTGTTTGATTTAGACATTAGACCTCAGGAAATCATGCAAATGGTTTTTCGTCGTTGAAATATTGTAACTATAAAGTCTGTTATGCAGGTTTGATTGAAAACAAATTTGTGATTTTTTAAAATTCAAAATCATCGGCTAATTGACATTCCATAATACCCTTAAGAAATATGGTTTATTGCAAATATTTATGTGAAAAATAGCTGCCACACAAATCTATTCTTTGTTCTCGACCAGAGTTATGGTGTCTCTAATATTTACACAATTTAAAACATTAGTTCTCATGAGAAAAGAGAGTAATTACGTTAAAAATTCTTCTAAAATGTGTACATTATGCCCTCTATAAACTATTGTCCCTTGGTTTGTGGTATTGCAACTGGAACTAGAATTGAAAAAGGATCTTGAACTACAGAAATCAGTCCTGGTTCCGCTTCCGATGAGTCAATAAAACCGAATATTGTTTTAAAAGCTGGGATATCGATGGCTTTTTAAATAAGTACATTGCATAATTGCATTTTATTATAGAAATATTTTATGGTACGATCCGTGAATACCTCTTTGATTTACATAGTAGTGATTCCCATTCCATTCCTTCATAACAATGCAAAGAAAACTACTAAGTAAAAAAAAATTAGCGTACATATAGAAATAATAAACCATTAAATGCAATATTATATCCATCTATTCTTGCTTAAGAAGAAATATTGGGAGAGATATGCCATTGCTCTCTGTAAATATACGGGGGATATAATTTGCCATCTGTAAATATAAAATTTATATATTTCTTTTTTTCTAATACTACTATGTATTATAAAGTATGTATACAGTCTTCTTCCTTATATGTTCTAAGACACCATTTTGCTCTACATTAGTAGAGAAGCAGCTTAAGGTATTCCATCCCTAACAGTCTCATATCCAATGAAATTCATAACAGATATGTAGGGGCTGAATACTCAGTATATTTAGACATAATTCCCATTTATTTCTATCAGTATTTAAGAGCGGAATGTGTCCTTATTCATGACCTTGACCTGTCCTTGAAGGGTTATTCCCCTCTAATTTTAATCAATAAAAATCATTTTTTAAGAAAGTCTATCGGGTAAAAAAATCGTTTTCAGTAAAAAAAAATCGCTTGTACCCTTGGACCTCAATGCAATCCTTTGAAAATATCTCTTGGTAAATCCTTTTCTACTCTAAAATTCTCTAAAATAATATAAGAGTATTATATATGTCATGAATTTCTTTTCATAGGTGATTATTATTATTGATTAAAATGCAATTTGATAGAATATAAAAATGGAAATTGCAGTTATAAGTTACAAACGACAAAATAATCGTTCACAAATTTTCATCTGTATTTAAAATGTGCCTTTTAAAGTCTATCGATAATAAATATCCACAATATCTTTACCAATATCTAAGCAATATTTTACGGTCTTTGTTGAAATTATGAAGAATTCCAGAATCACATTTTACTGAAACCACGTCAAAAATTTTCAAAATTGATAACCATGTCAATTTAGGCAAACCTCTGCAATATACGGAGAAAAATACACTTGCGTGTCAGTGGCCGTACGCATTGTGTTCATAAAAAAAAACTCTTGAATGAAAATTCATCCTTTGACAACCATCGGAAAGTTATTTTTCAAATTTATTCAGAATGATATAAAAAAAAAATGATGGGACAAGAATAATGAGATTTTAAATTAAAAGGAAGAGACATGAATTCATTAGATGAAGCGACATTGCAGTATCCAAAAATTTATAAATTTGGTGGAACATAAATATCTCAGATAATGATCTATCAGAACGTACCTGCAAGTACCAAACACGGTCAGGATCCGACAGGTGATTGAATGGCCAAATAAAATATTAATGGGTTGGTTGGTTCCTCCCCGAAGAAAAGATATGTTGACTTATCTGCTCCAAATTTATCTACTCGTAAATAACACGCTCTTCAGGGTGTGTGTCCAATATGACAGATTTTGCAGATGTGATACACTGGAAAATAAATGGCTTGACAATTAGCTTTGATGGCCTAACTGTGAATTTGAATCAGGTCATCTGCAGTATTGGGAGTGTTAATGATGGATATAATGATAATAATTTTCTAAATTCATTGAATGTTACGCATTTAATTCTGTTATCGTTATATTTGAATATAGGACATTCAGAAAATTAAATATTGACTCTTGTACCATTAGTCTGTCATCAAATATATAAAATATTTTACTAATGTTTCCTTGATAATATCAATTATATTATATTATAGCATACTTTAGAATGCACAGATTGCTTAAATTGTAGTAAGACTTATTCTTAAGTTCAGACGGACGTTCCTCAGTAATATATAGTTTTTTTTTCCCAAGAATTTGTGTTTGAAATTGCTGCTTTAACAAGTTTCCTCACAAAAAATTGAGATATGTTACCAGACATTTGTGTTAGATATCAGAGGATGGCATGTCTTATATAATCCTATCGGAAATTACTTGAATTGCTGATATCACAATTTTGGTGTTTTTATATTATACAGACATTTTGAAAAAAAGTTTAGAAATCACAAGATAATAAGAAATATAAATGCATTTGGTAGGCTACAAAGAGATACAAAATCAGATAATCGAGGAATGTCTCATTTAAACTTAACAAATCAAAAATTGATGTTGAAATGAACAATTTTAATAAGGCTTTCTCTGCCTACATTGTTTTCTCAATTAAATTCTTTCTAGTTTAATTGGATCACTCAGGTTGTAATACATTGATTGATTGATTGTATTTTGTTTTACGTCCCATTCGAGAATTTTTCCCTCATATAGAAACGTCACCATATTCTGGTGAAGGGATTCAAATTTTGACCTTTACTCGGCACTCAGGGCCATTATGCAGTGAGGAATTTTTATCGTGCCAACGCCTGCCGTGACAAGGGGCCTCGATTTTCAAGGTCTCATCACAAGGAACCGCAGCTTTCACTTACAAGTCCCGAGCGCATGGCGAAGGAAGAGTTGCTACCCATTTTTTATCGACCTAGGTCAGTCGCGACCGAGATTCGAACTCACGACCTCCCGATCACGGAGCGAGCGCTCTACCGACTGAGCTACTGTGAACGGTTAGGTTGAAATACAGCATTTAAATCACTTCTTAGTATATCGAACATAAGATTTATTGATATTCCCAATGAAATGAATAAAAGAAATCTCGATTGGACAATAATCCCATAAAAAAACAAAACTGTAATAATCTATTGTAACTTTGTTAGCCATATTCGTTTGTTGTTTTAAAAAAAAATCATGAACATACAAAAAAAGTATATAAAATGTCACATTTTAAGTTCACAGGCTCTTTTTGATCCTTTATTTATAGCTTACCAGAACAGTAAATGGCCAGATGGGACATATGCCCTCCCTACCTCAATGTTCGGTTGCCCTGAGACTGAGGACAAGGGGTGGACATTATCTTATATCAACATGACCCTCCCAGACTCCGCCCAACGTCAGTACTGGAACACTAAAGACCCAAACCTCCTCAGTGGTATCATAGAGCCTAACATACTGGGACCATACTATTATCGTGCTCTCCAGATGAATTTTTGTGCGAAAAATCGAAGCAATGATAAAAGAGAGAGCAATGGAACAACAGCTGAGTGGCCCAAAGGGCAGTACTGTATATACAGTTCTAAGAATACCTGTCCTGAAGGTAAAATTGAAATGCACGGTGTAAGTGTTTCTTGCTTTTTAAATAAAAATAAGAAAAAAAAAGAAAATAAAGACATATACACTGTTCATTGTAAAGAATTAAATTAACCTTGTTTAATGTCATAACAAATACTGGAATAAAATCTCCTGTGATACTTCCTACAAGTTGCAAAAAGGTTTTATGTAAAAATCAAGTGGAATCTTCAAAAAAACAAAAACAAATTATCATTAGTATACTATATTGTTTTTACGAATGAATTTTACAGCTCATAATAAGGGAATAAACTTTCTATAGAAACTTTCATTTTCTAAACCAAAGCTTAACTCCTTCTAAAGTTGAATGTATGCATAAACGTTTCTGGAGGTTGGCAACATATAGTCTACTCAGTTGCTGTACTTGGTAATTGCAGTAATCAAACAGTTATCCCAGGAGAGTGGCTTTAACCTTAGAGCATCCTCTCAGAGTAGAGACAAGCTTTCCTCTTAATCAGATGACTAATTACAGCTCACTGCCACAAAGGAATTTATAACTACTCTATAAATTGATAAACTTTTGTCAATAACAGTGAACGATAGGAAATATACCTTTTTCAACTGAACCAAACCTTGTAAATTGGAAAAATGAGTTCATCTTATTTTTTTATTTACAGGGTTTTCTAATGGCACCTTGACAATATCCGGATATCAGTTCACACAGCAGGATATAGGGGGCGTTATTCCAGGAGAGACCGGAAATAACATGACTCTGATACTGAAGTTCTGCTGTAGAGAAGATGGCGATTACCGGACACCAATAAAACTCCCATCAGATTTCCCTTTTATTCTATTTCAGGTGAATATATCTCCTAGTTTACAGATATTAATTTTATTATGGATATTAATGGTCTATATTGAAGTAATTTTTATATTTAATGAATTGCAACTTCGAATGGTATGTTCAATAGAGGTTTCAGTTCACAATTTGTCAAGGCATACCTTAATGCATGTCAATTGATGACTATTGTCAAAGCTTGGCACTCAACAAAAATTTTACCACTTAAGTATCACTGCTACCTACAGATCATAAAGAGAACGCATACCTCCTCCTCTGTGTTCTTTGTAGTTTTCTCATTGTGTTCATTGGCGAGGCTTAGCTGGTCATGCATTAAACATGTATTGCGTTTTTAAAATTCTTCGTCATCCATGGAAATCCAGCAGCCTTTCTGTTTACATGATCACGATTAGCGTATTATTGTGGTATTCTTATTCCTCTGCTCACTGAAGCCAATGAAGTTCATAAATAGGGAAAGTGTATATTATAAACTTCTAAAGATTCTCATTCGTGGACATTTTACCAAAATTTCCTTTTCCCATATTATTATACCATATATATAGTATTTATAGTATTTGTTTCTGATATGATATGAACATTAATATTATGTTATGTCTGTGTTCTATTATGATTTTAATGAAAGAGAAAAAAGACGTTTTAGCAAATAACAATATTCATTTTCATTTCTACATTAATTCTATATTTCTCGCATAATCACCGGTGTTAGATAAACCTGTCCAGTGTGAGACAGCAGTGTGAGATTTTTCTGTCTTACACTGTGTATTACTACGCTGAGAACGGTAACGTAAACATCCCTTCTTATATAATACTTGTAACAATGTCTAAAAAAAAACCCACATATACCTAAAATGTTGTTTAATTTAGTTAATCAAGCTTATTTTCATTCAAAAGATTGTCGTATTTCCACTTTCTAAATGGCGCTATTTGTAGGTCGCGGAAGGGTTCTTCTAAAATCTTACGCTATTTTTTTTTTTTTTTAAAAATCCAGTTTATATAATTCAGAATGATTTAAGTGGGCTGAAATTAATTTTCTGAGTTTACTCATGAATGTGTACACCATTTTCATGTACGACTTCTTTGATGGTGTATTCAGATTTTTGATTGGATGCTAAATTTAAAAAAATAATTTTTTCAAAGGTGATGACCTCATATTCGTGGCTGAGATTCACTGTCTAGGACTCGGCAAAGCCTCACCCTAGACCGTGAATTTTGTCCCCTCGGTGGAATTTCACTATCCCACACTCGTAGTAATGAATGATTCTATTAATCCCATTGAGGTAAAAAAAAAAAACAAAAACAAAAACAAAACAAAACACCATAGTGATGACAAATTAACAACTTAATTTTATTATAAACGGGATGTCAACTTTTCTATCGTTAACTCCTCTTAATAATGTATCAAAATACCATTATCACCTGCATATGGAGTTAATGTGTCCTCGTTGCTCCGAAACGAAAGTGCAGATTCTACGCACAAACAATTTCTAAAACGAGGCAGGCTCAGTTGAGAATTGTATAAGTTTATGTTACAAGGATTTGACCAATCTAATTTAAATAAAGGCAACAATTCGCAAATTCTATGATCGATACAAAGACTTTGTTTGCAAATTCAATCAGTCGTTAGGTCGAATGTTGACTTATGTCTTTAAAAAAAAAATTGTTAGTACATTATTTCCCAACTGAATTGTCTACGAATTTTTCTATGAAATTGCGTTCTGTTCGCAAAATTTTGACACAGTTATGTGAAGAAATGTCATTGCGTTAACAAACAAATGGCAAACTCTAGCAGTAATTAAAAGTAATTTAAATGATACAATGTGAGCTCCTTTTGATTTTTTTATGAAACAAATCTTTTGCAATAAAATTTCGGGTCAGTTTACATTACTTTCTTGGTGATTTGTTTCAAAACTACCAAGACATCTAGAATTTAAGGAAAAGAAGAGAATAATCCGTAATATAGACGACATACAGACATCAACTAAAATTGTACGATATGATTTGTATTTATCTATAGATGGCAAACTGCTAAAAGATCTACTTTATTTTACAGAGTCAGTCAGCGGAGAGCTGCCAGGAGGTAGAGTCTATGATTGTACAACAGGACTATTTCTTCATGAACAATGAAAACGATGAATGGGAGCACAAAGGGATGTTGCCTATGTTTAATAGAACGGCAATAAATGAATCAGTTGGCATAGCGTATTGCTATTATAAACCATACGGTAATTATACGTAATTATAGATTTAAACAATTCATGCAAAAACCGAAAAAGAGAAAAAAAAAATAAATCTCAGTCCTTTGACATGTTATTCACTGTAATTGTACACATACACGTCAAGAATGTGAGAGATTCAGAAATAAGATTGCAAAAATATAATATAAATACTTGAATACAGTTTTCTGATTTGAAAATATTTTTATTCAAACACTTTATGTAACTCTAGTTTTAATTAATTGGTATCTGATTCAGCCTCCAGATACCTTATGTGACATAAATGAGTCGTGTTCCATAACGGCCATCGGAAGCTTAACGGGGTTTCAAATGAAAACGTTTAAATTATCTCTTTTGTACTGAAATGGAAGTGCAGATAAGGCTATTATACTATTAAACTGTAAGATATTTGCAATTTTTTATGAATAAAACTTTGATCTGAGGTGACTCTGTTTGCATTTTTAGTCCATGGTTAATGGTTCAAGTAAAGCAGCCTCTATGTATAGAATGTTATTGACAACATTTTTGCTAGTTTGTGTACGAGGACTCTATAAAAAGTTCGTGGACACATGCTATTTCTTTGTTTACATTAAAGACACTGGCAAGTGTGTGTGATGATATTTAAATGTAGAACACAAGGCACATTGTCTGCTACCCTATAAAACGGCAACTTTTACATTAAATTTAAGTTCAATCAATCAAAACTCAGCAGGTTTGAAATGAATTCTTAAAACAAACATTTTGATATATAGTATGTACCGGTATGTATTTAACCTTGAAAAAGGACGGAAAAGCCATTATCCTCGAATTTTTGGACAGTCCTCTTACATCCAGATGTAATATTTCATTTGTTTGACATTACAGAATCCATAGTTCTGGTCTTTTCTAACACGCGTTATAAGTCCATTCAAGTTACTTGTGATTTGCACCATGTTCAAAAATTATATTATAATGTGTTTTTTCCACAGAGCAACGTGAATGTTATTATGATACAGACTACGGAAACTCGTACAATGGTAGAGCCAATATCTCTACTTCCGGAAAGGCGTGTTTGATTTGGACAGAGTCGTCTGAGCCATTTTATCGTAACAATAGGAGAGCTTATCACGAGTTTGATGAAAATTACTGTCGCGCGTATGAATACTACTCCTACAAATCAGAGGAGCCTTTATGTCTTGTGGAGTTTCCTGACATCAAAGAAAAATGCAGGGTCCCTAAATGCGGTTTGTTCTCTTAAAAATTATAAATGCGTTTATGTTAAAAAGTATTAATATGTTACGCCTGCAGTATATGAAATGTTAAAATAACAAACAGTGCATGGTCATGCTGAATATTCCATTAAACAATGTATAAATTGTAAGCAGAGTCAACAGAACTAATCTGACATTCTATTATGTCTATATTCTCATATAAACTTAAGAAACATGTAATCTTTAGACAAGTTTGCTCTGTTCACGATTCGTTTTGTTTACAGGGTTTATGAGATTGAATGCTGTTCGTTATCTTCGCATTTTACATAATTCAATATTTCTCGAATGTTTTGCAGTGCCAATTTTGAAGCTTCATACTGATCTTAGAAATTAATGAAAGTGTTTTCAATCCATTGCTCATTGGCACTCATCTCTTCATTTCTCCTTAAAATAATTTTTAATATTACTGAAGTTATATCCCTTAAGCACATTAATAAGAATATAATGCATTTTGATTTTACAGAGGAGGAAAAGGATTTGAAAGAATTTGGAAAATTCAAACCTTTTACTAGTGTTCAACAGGATAGTGATTACAACTCAGACTATGCGGTAGATGGTTTCATAGGTAAGTAGCTTAAATTGTTTGAAATTCTCCATTTCCTTTACCCTATAATAAGATAGGCTAATGACTTTAATTTTTTTTTTAATCTCAGGTACTAAGAATTCGTTTATTTCAAACCGTCCTCTGATGAAGCCATGGTATCAAGTAAATTTACAGGAACATATTGAAGTCCACGCTATACTCATTTACAGATATGCCAGTAGGTTTTTATTTTCAATTACATTCAGATTTCAAATCAGGCCATTTTGAGAAAAGGTCATATCCTCATTAACTTCATGATTAATATTTCATTTTCCATTCAGAAAATTACCACACATAGTCTTGCTATGATAAATTTATTCTGAGAAATAGGCTATTATTATTATAATCTTGTTATTTCTTTCGGACAGACACTTGCTTTGTGCTCCATGCCATGCTTTTTCATTCATTTCTTAAATTCTTTCTGATTGTTAAAATGTACATGCTTTCCTTCTGTATTTTACTACTATTTTCCATTTGACTGAATGTTCAAAAAGTAATTAAGTGATACAAACTGTTACAAACAATCCTTCTAGCTTACATGCCTCTAAATCTGCGATACTTTGGGACCTACGTCAGTAAGAATCAATGGGATTTCATGAACTATGGCGCTGTTCGATGTGACGACATCCGATTACCGGGATACTCCAGGGTATTTCGTTATCAATGTAGGCGTCCGGTGGTGGGTCAATACGTCACCATCCGGAACTTTGATTTCACACAACCAGATCACAACCCAGGCAATTTCTATAAAATGGAAATCAACGAGATAGTAATTCTAGGAAAGTGTGAGTATATGCTTTTTTATAAAGCTTTGAAAAAAGATATACCCCCATTGCATCTAATCCAACTTCTGATTTTGCAGAGGTCCATGTTTGCTCTGCTCTCAGTCTGTAATATATATTTTAGTTTTTAGCGTGATTACTGTTTGTGTTTCACTCTATTTGTATATGAGAGATCACTTTAAGAGAACTGCAAATCATATATAGCAATTGTTCATACACAATTTAACGAGTACTCAGATAATTCTGTAGATCTCATTCTGAATATCTATAATTCAAAGTACAAAATGAGAGGAAATATATCCATGTGGAATCTCATTTTTTAGCAACAACCTGCGGAAGACCTCTAGGAATGGCCTCTGGTAACATCTATGACTATCAACTTGGAGCCTCGTCAGATGAAACAACAGGTGTTGAAGTAATGCAACTTTCCATCCGAGGACGATTGTATTATCCGGACCCTGGCTGGTGTGCCATAAAAAAGGATGAATCACCTTGGTTTTCTGTATGTGACAGTCGATACGTGTCTTGTTAAGTGGCTATATCATACATTATTGGCATATTTCTTCCAAATAATATCATCAATTTTACGACATTGTTCAACGGCATATCTAACTTAGGGTAACATAAACGCCAGCTTCTGGGTATTTCTCTTTGTGTAGTTCTATGTTCAGGTGTATTAAACGGTGTAAAAGATATTTTAATTTAAATAAATAAAAAGGATAACTAAATAAAAGTAGACAGTCACTTTGGAAAAGTCGATAGGGTTATTCTAAAAAAAAAGTGTCAATCTTCGAAAAGCAGGTCGTAATAGTTCTGTTAACATTTATAAGATCCTATTCTACTCATTATTATTACAAAATGTGATGATACTCTTTCTTGAGTCTTCAAATTCTGTTCTTATTCCTGGTTATAACAACAGCTCCTGTAAAATTGGAATTCATTAAAATAAGATCGTGTTAATTGCCACTTCGTCAAACTTTGTTAAATGCAAATTAGATATGGTTTCCAGCAAGGAACCTTTAAAATAGACGTGTTGGCAATCAATTCTAACATTTTGAGGAACAACGGAAAGTTTCACAGAAAGAAAGTTCAACAGTTTAAAAGTTATTTAATATATGATAAAGGAAATTTGATATCTTTTATTGTTGTTTGCAGGTTGATTTGATTGTCCCAACAGTTGTACAAGGAATTTCAGTGCAAGGGTGGATATCAGGAAAGGAGATAAAATATATCCAGTCATTCCAAGTGTCTTATGGCGTGACAAGGAAAGCAATGAATCGTTACAAAGATTCTCCTGGAGTTGTAAAAGTAAGCGTACTTTTTTCAGAGAAAATAAACTGAGTTCTGAAGGTTACAGTGTACAAATTGTACCAGAAATTTCTTTCTCTATCTTCGGCTAGCTTTAAATCCAATATATTTATATTTTTCTCAAGTATTAATACCTCTGTTTGTCTTTAGACTTTTTTCATCGATAACACGGTAGCAGTTACTACACCACAGACGTTTATGTTTCATAAGGATATTCTGGCGCGATATATCAAAATACATCCATTCGTAGAAAACGGCCAACAAGCTTGTCTCAAAGCAGAGGTCATAGGCTGCCAGAAACAATGTAAAGATCTATAAGTAATTTGTTAATATAAGTAATATAATCATAAGAGAGTATAAAAATTATTTATTTTTCAAGCAAATTGAGAGATTGGAAATGTCTACAAGTTATAGTGTTTATCATTGCGCATTAATGTTCGATTAAATACAGGGTAGACTAAAAGCTAGTCTGTCTTTTTATCCTTACCTGGACCCTTATGACACAGCCCTTTTTCAGGAAAACAGTGAAAGCTCCATCGTAAGAAAAACAAGGATATAATTATGAATATAAGAAAATTCAAATTTTATTTGCAGTACAGAGGGATATCAAATGTAGAAAGGGTACTGTGGACTTTGGATTTGAGGAACTGAAACGATTTTCCTTTTGGCTTGAAAAGGAAGCTAATTCGCCTTACACCGTAAGGAATATTTCTACAATCGAAGGTTGTAGACAGTTTTGTTTAAGTAATAACTGTACAGCATTATCATTCAATAATTACGCAGACCGTCAGGAATGTTCACTAAGTTTTGGAGATAGATATCATCCAACAAGAAAGGCGGCCTGGGTACAAACAGGTGTCATTCTTAATCAGGCAGCTCATCGTCTGTGCTTCAAAGGTAAGTTTGTTTTTTAACAGCAGCAACACCTCTGAATATACAATTCTAAATTTATAAAATTCTAAAAATTAATTTGATAATCTACGCACTTTAAATGACATCTTACAAAATATTTAAATTCGTCACAGATGTCAATTTTTAGCTCACCTGAGCCGAAGGCTCAAGTGAGCTTTTCTGATCACATTTTGTCCGTCGTCCGTCTGTCCGTCTGTCTGTCTGTCCGTCTGTCTGTCCGTCCGTCTGTAAACTTTTCACATTTTCGACTTCTTCTCCAGAACCAATGGGCCAATTTCAACCAAACTTGCCACAAAGCATCCTTGGGTGAAGGGGATTCAAGTTTGTTCAAATGAAGGGCCACCCCCTCTTTCAAGGGGAGATAATTAAGAATTTGTGAAAATTTGGTGGTATCTTTTAAAAATCTTCTTCTCAAGAACCAATGGGCTGTAAAAGTTGAAACTTATGTGAGACCTTCATTACATAGTGTAGATTCAAGTTTGTTCAAATCATGACCCCCTGGGGTAGGGTGGGGCCACAATGGGGGGTCAAAGTTTTACATAGGAATATAAAGGAATAAATCTTTAAAAATCTTCTTCTCAAGAACAACTAAGCCACGATTTGTCATATTGATATGGAATCATCCTCAGGTAGTGTAGATTCAAGTTTGTTCAAATCATGACCCCCAGGGGTAGGGTGGGGCCACAATGGGGGATCAAAGTTTTACATAGGAATATATAGAAAAAAATCTTGAAAAATCTTCTTCTCAAGAACAACAAAGCCACAATTAGTCATATTGATATGGAATCATCCTCAGGTAGTGCAGATTCAAATTTGTTCAAATCATGACCCCCAGGGGTAGGGTGGGGCCACAATGGGGAATCAAAGTTTTACATAGGAATATATAGAAGAAAATCTTGAAAAATCTTCTTCTCAAGAACAACAAAGCCACAATTAGTCATATTGATGTGGATTCATCCTCAGGTAGTGCAGATTCAAGTTTGTATCAAATCATGACCCCTGGGGATAGGGTGGGGCCACAATGGGCGATCAAAGTTTACATAGGAATGTACAGAAAAAAAACTTGAAAAATCTTCTTCTCAAGAAGAGCAAAGCTTTGTTAAGTCATATTGATATGGAAGCATTCTCAGATAGTGTAGATTTAACTTTGTTTGAATCATGACCCCCAGGGTTAGGGTGGGGCCACAATGGGGGATCAAAGTTTTACATAGGAATATATAGAAAAAAAATCTTGAAAAATCTTCTTCTCAAGAACAACAGAGCCTTGTTAAGTCATATTGATATGGAAGCATTCTCAGATAGTGTAGATTTAACTTTGTTCGAATCATGACCCCCAGGGTTAGAGTGGGGCTACAATGGGGAGGTCAACGTTTTACATAGGAATATATAGGAAAAAATGTTTCCAACAACAGAAAAATCTCCTTCTCAAGAACAGCAAAGCCTTGTTAAGTCATATTGATATGGAAGCATTCTCAGATAGTGTAGATTTAACTTTGTTTGAATCATGACCCCCAGGGTTAGGGTGGGGCCACAATGGGGGGTCAATGTTTTACATAGGAATATATAGGAAAAAATCTTTAAAAATCTTCTTCTCAAGAACAGCAAAGCCTTGTTAAGTCATATTGATATGGAAGCATTCTCAGACAGTGTAGATTTAACTTTGTTCAAATCATGACCCCCAGGGTTAGGGTGGGGCCACAATGGGGGATCAACGTTTTAACAAGGGAATGTATAGGAAAAAAATCTTTAAAAATCTTCTGCTCAAGAACAGCAAAGCCATTTGTTATATTGATATGGAAGCATCCTCAGGTAGTTCAAAATCCAAGCCCCCCCCCCCTTTAAACTTTTCAATAATGAAGTGATTTGTGCTTTTTCCTAGCCAATGTGCTCAGGTGAGCGATGTGGCCCATGGGCCTCTTGTTGTTCGTTGTTACTGTGCATGCTTCCACATTCTATATGCTTAAGTGTTTCATTTTTTTTTATTTCAATACACCCATTATAATAGATAACTTTCTTTAATATAGAAACACTTGTTATCAAACTATATTATTAAAAGAACAACAAAAACAAAAATAATCTAATAATAATCTAAACAATCAAATTTGGAAAAAAGGAAAGAAATATTAATTAAAAAAAAATTAAAAACAAAACAATCAAGCAAAAAATTACAAGGCTAATTGCAAATGAACTACAAGAAACGGTTGAAATGTATTTTCAGAAGAGATGGATATAGCTCAGTGTTCATTCTCAATAAATGTAACAAGGAAGGGTCGATCGGTCATCCGGTCACCAGGATTCCCTTTCAGTTATGGACAAGGCCTCAATTGTACCTGGAGTGTATATGCTGGAAATTTTGGTTTTGTCAAGCTGGAAATAGTTTATGTACAACTGGCTAAAACGACGACAGACATAGAATTAAAAGAGGTACGTCTAGTATCTTTTTCTATAAATACAGTTTTATATTTGGGCTGATTTTAATTTCCTATTTTGATTTTTGAATTTTGATCGATTGGCACTGTTTTCTGATTATAGACTAGACGCCTTGTGCAAATTCTTTCTTTTAAAGATCCATGTATTTCTAAATGGAGCAAAAGTGAATGCAGATTCAGTAATAAATCTTCGCAAGAATTCAATAAAATAATCATATACTCGTATTTTAGATGGGAATATTTGATATAAATCCAGGAAAATGCAAAGACCGAGTAGTTATACATGACGAATCAAGCACTATTGAGATCACCGCCGATACCCAGGAAAAATTTAAAGATACCATCATTATCTCTTCTGGAAAATCTTTATTTGTATCACTGGAGTCTTGTTTCCAAATGTCTGCATCACAGTTAGAAAAGATTTTCGAAATAGGGGTTACAAAATCAGGTAGTATAAAGCAAGTGGCAACCATTTCTATAATAATAATATCCTTCTTTCAGTAGAAATATCTATTTGCACATTTATGTAAGAAACGGATCAAATAAAAAAAATGATACCACAAGAGCTAATGCAAATAAGCAATCACAATTTAAATTGATATGTGGAAGCTGGAAATATTGACCTGTTGCCTAATGTACCTGATTCGTTTTACAACACCCTAAACATTTATTTTACATCCTCATATTCAGAGAGACAAGGGTGTGGAATGGCTACAGAAGGGTGCGCAGTCAGTTGTACACTGCAGTCAGCCTTCATAGCTACAGAGAGATATCCCGCTCCATATGAAGCAGGAGCCACTTGTACTTGGAACATACACGGAATATTTGGACAATATGTAGAACTGAATGTTCTTCATTTAGATGTTATTAATGGAGATGATACATGTTCTAAGTCATATATTGCAATTTACGATATCGATTTGAATGGAAGGGAGGTGTTACTAGGAAGATTCTGCAAGGAAAACAGGCCTTATAAGAATATAACATCGAGATGGCACCATATGCGAGTTGAATTTCGCTCTGGAAATGAGAATAATCTAGGTCAAGGATTTTTAGGGATGTATACGTTTGTGAATTTTACCCAAATATGGTTAGATGTCAGAAATAAAGGTAGGCAATTTTAATGCCGGTAGAAAGATTTAATAACAAAATATTCAATTTTTGTTCTTTACATCAGCAATCCTTGTAAAGAATCGTTATTGAATCTTTAAATTTTAGAATGTTTAAATGATTGGCATTACTACAATGGAAGTTGCTATAGAATATTCACCGATGACATAGGCATTACGTGGCCAGAAGCGAATCACAAGTGTAAACAACTCAATGGAAGCCTTGTCAGTATTTCCTCAAAAAAAGAACTATCTTATGTTCACTTTCTTGTCAAGAGCAATATAAACATTACAGGCAACTGGGAAATTTACATAGGTATGATTTCTTATTTTACTGGCGTCTTTTCATCAGATGATTACAATTTGTAAGTAATCGAGTGAATGCCGAAGTAAAAATGTGAAATATTTCTGCAGGTCTTCAAAAGAGATACTCAGAAGGAAAAAATGAAGTGAAATATCTCTGGACGGATGGAAACCCTTTGACGTTCACTGCATGGTACAAAAACAAAGTTATATTTAACTGTAATTCAGTTTTAATATTGATATCTCTTAGTGCATGAAAATATTGCCAAGATTTGCTAATACGATTTCAACAGTCACTGTACTTCTAGAATTTTGTTGTGTTTTACATAGGATTCAATCTTCTTATTTTGCCTATTATTTAGAAGACAATCTCAGTTTGAAAACATAAATGGAATCCTTCAAAAAATATCAAATGGCTTCCTTTGTTCATCTGCCCTTTCGTATAGGTATCGTGATGATGATATTAAGAATCGACAACCAAATGGAGTCCAAAATGAGCGATGTACCAGTATTAACTTTCACAGTATCCATTCAATGAGTGATTGGCATGACACTGCATGTGCTTACAATAAAATTCAGAGTTACATGTGTGAAGTACATCTCCACCAAAGTAATGGTAAATATACGTCTATTCCGTCTTAATCTGAAGTTATTTACACTAAATCAAATGAATTTACTGGTATTTTCTAGATCAAATTTTGTGTCTTCAATTGAAATATTTCTTTTATTTTATTTTGCGTTGTCTCTTATATTTCATACTTAAAACCTTTAGTAACCCTTAGGTACTTAATACCGTAACTACTTTTGAAGTTGTAGTAAATTAGAGCTTTCCCGTAGTTAAATTTTCAAATTAATATTGAATATAGACAGAAACAATTTCACTGTGAACTGATCATTATGATTACAACAACGGGAAGGGGACATAATTCCACAATCTTTAAGAGAGTATTAAAACTTTTGTATTTTGCTTCCCACTATCTATAAATATATCATAATCTTGAATCAAGTCATATTTCTCAAGATAATTGGCAATGACAAAATGAAGAGGTGCCCGGCACGTCAATCTATAAAGTTTTTTGAATTCAGATTTTTGTATTATATTGCCAGTAAACTTAATTTGTATCAATTTGTTAACTCAATTTAAGGTCATATCGTACAGGTCAAGGGCATAGGGCAAGAGATATATACATCTTTTTGGAATCATTGATTGCAATGATTCAAACTTGCGTTTAATGTTGCTTTTGGCTTAAAATATATCATTACCGTGATTTTAGTTCAAATCGCAAAGATCAAGAGCACATAGTAACTCCAAGAAGTATAACTGTGGAAGGGGGTCTGGGTTTTTTTTTTTTTTTTTTTTTTTTTTTTTTTTTTTTAATGTATTTGCTATAACTTGTCTTTCCTTGCCTTTCAATTCTGTTGAAGAAACTATAAGTCGAAGGAACTGGTGGGGAAATGGAACTCTTGTTTTAAGGTCAGCAGAGTTGGGTAACATTTTGTTCCAGTGTGAGAACACAGAATTGATCAACAAACTGTTTGTATGTGACGGAATGGTTGACTGCAGTGACGGATCTGATGAGGCAAACTGCTGTAAGTCTTAACGATAATTGATTTTTTTGAGATTCTCTTTTAAGATAATAATTGTTTGAGATGTATGTATGATAGATATAGTCGCCTGGGCGTTCTGCTACTATAGGGCTTCGCTTTATGGAATGGACAGAAAGTAGTCTTAATTAATTAATGTTTACATGTTATAATAGTTGCGTATTTAAACTATGACTTTTTATCTATGATAGCTACAACGTGTACAGAAACTCAGTTCCAATGCAACAGTGGTGACTGTATTTCTATCAGTCTGTATTGTGACTTTGTCAGCCACTGTCCAGATAACTCCGATGAAACCGATTGTAGTAAGTACATGTACTCATAAACACCCTGTGGTGCATATCAATGGAAATACTACAAATATCGGTTTATACATTTCTGTTTTGACAGACGTCATTTTTTGACAAATCCTAAAAGAAAATTGAGCCGATACTTCATTAAGTATAATAACTGTACATATAACACAGAACATTGAAGTGATTGTAAGATGTGTTGGTAGTTTTTTAGCTCACCTGAGCTGAAAGCTCAAGTGAGCTTTTCTGATCACATTTTGTCCGACGTCCGTCTGTCTGTCCGTCTGTCTGTCTGTCTGTCTGTCTGTAAACTTTTCACATTTTCGACTTCTTCTCAAGAACCACTGGGCCAATTTCAACCAAACTTGCCACAAAGTATCCTTGGGTAAAGGGGATTCAAGTTTGTTCAAATGAAGGGCCACGCCCTCTTTCAAGGGGAGATAATTAGGAATTACTGAAAAAATAATGGCATCATTTAAAAATCTTCTCAAGAACCATAGGGCCAGGAAAGATGAAACTCATGTGGAAGCATCCTTAGGTAGTGTACATTCAAGTTTGTTCAAATCATGACCCCCGGGGGTAGGGCAGGGCCACAATGGAGGATCAAAGTTTTACATAGAAATATATAGGAAAAATCTTTAAAAATCTTCTTCTCAAGAACAGCAAAGCCATGATAAGTCATATTTATATGGAAGCATCCTCAGGTAGTGTAGATTCAAATTTGTTCAAATCATGACCCCCGGGGGTAGGGCGGGGCCACAGTGGAGGATCAATGTTTTACATAGAAATATAAAGGAAAATATCTTCTTCTGAAGAACAGAAAAGCTATGTTTAGTCAAATTGATATGGAAGCATCCTCAGGTAGTGTAGATTCAATTTTGTTCAAATGATGACCCCCAGGGGTAGGATGGGGCCCAATGGGGGATGGAAAGTTTTACATAAGAACATATAGAAAAAATATTTCTTCTCAAGAGCAGAAAAGCTATGTTTAGTCATATTGATATGGAAGCATCCTCAGGTAGTGTAGATTCAAGTTTGTTCAAATGATGACCCCTGGGATAGGGAGGAGCCACAATGAGGGATCAAATTTTTACAAAGGAATATATGGGAATTTTTTTAAAAAAAATCTTCTCAAGTACAACAAAGCCGTTTGTTATATTGACATGGAAGCATCATCAGGTAGTTTAAAATTCAAGCCCCCCCCTCCCCCCGGTCTTTTCAATACTGAACTGATTGTGCTTTTGCCTAGCCAATGTGCTTAGGTGAGCGATGTGGCCCATGGGCCTCTTGTTTTCTTTGATAAAAATATTAACTTGAATATCTGAAAGAACAAAACACTATTATTCAACAAAATTTGATTTTTCTCCTTGAGAGATGTTAAGCTTTTTCAAATCTGTGATAAATGACTGAAAACAAATTTGATGTAAATTTCAATTTGCTCACTTTTGCAGTTGAGTTCCTACTTATCATTTACTTTATTGCTTATGGATATCTGCTCGTTTGATTTGCCAAAATTTGTATATGACATATTATTCACACATAGTTCGAAAACCATGTACGGAAAATGAATGGGAATGTTCCAACGGTCAGTGTATTTCTGCAAAGACCCGCTGTGATATGAAACCAGACTGTGTCGATGGAAGCGATGAGAAACATTGTGGTAGGTTATTCTGTTGATCATAACATCTACGTGAAATTTCTTATGCCTTTTCATTGTTAACTCGTGTATATTATGACGATATCAACTTTCAGAAGGTTGTAATCATGGATTTGAATGTTACGACCAGACTTGCATTCCTTCCTCGTTGGTGTGTGATGGCTTTATCGACTGTAGTGGATTCTTCGCCGAGGACGAGTCCCAGGACTGTGAAAACAATGTCCAGGAAACGTGTAAAGATTGGTGGGGATTGGGACGGAGAGAGAATGGGGAATATCTTGTTAGTCTTGGATTGGAAGGTGGTTAAATCCTTATAAACTTACTATTCAAGTCTGTACATTTTGGATGATTTCTAGGAAAGGATAAAAATCCTAGCTTTAGCTATAAGATTGGTGAGAGGAGTTAAAATATGCTGGCGTTTTATAATATATTCTATGCTATTTTTTATCTTTGAAACTTGGACTTTCGTTGAACAAAATATTTGATTATTCAAATATTTTTGTCTTAATCTTAATGCTGCCTTTTTGATAATATTATTTCATTTTTTAATGAAGTAGGTTTTGTTTTTTTTTTTTACATTGTAAAAAGGTCAAACGATTGTCACAGTAACCAGGAAAAAGATCAAAATGATTGTCATATTTGTTTAGATCTGAGCCCTACAAAAGCAGAATGTCGATTTCAAAAGTCTGCTGATCGTGTTATAGTGCAGACGATAATTCACCATTCCGAGGAAGAAACACTGTTCTCAAGCTTATTGGAAGTTGATGCAAAATTGAAATACTTTGCAAATGAAAGACAAATATCGGTGCTAAAGAATACAAATAAATGCAGTCAGGCTATAAGAATACGCTGCCATTACATCAACCACAAATTAGACGTGTTTTGGGAGGGAGAAAATGGAGCTCAGGTTCACACAAGTTCTGGGATTACGGATGAAAGCTGCTCATGCCCGTTTGTGAATAAATGTGAAGAGGGAAAAGTAAAGTGAGAAGTTTTAAATTTATGATTACATATTATTTAATATCATTTATAGGAATATCCGTATTATAATATTAAAAGGACATCCCAACCCCTATTACATTGTAATAAATATTCTTTTACTCAGCAGAACAAATTCGTCCTTATCTTCGTAATGAATCTATGTTAAAACAATCACTTCATTTTCCTTAGAGTTAAATTTATCTTGGCATGAGAAAGACTTTCAAAAAAGCTCTTTTAATTATCTAGGTGTAATTGTAATTCCACAATGGGTGAATGGTATGGCGCTGAAACCACAGAAGTGAGAGAGGATTCAGGTGTCATCACTAATCATTCAGTCTTGCCTATCCAGAAACTGTACATCTATCGTCCAGGGGAGAACAAGTTCGTTAAGGTAGACATCGGACCACTTGTTTGCACCGAAGGTATTTACATTTTTCTAGTAACTTGGTAATTAATTTTGTCCATTAATGAAGCGCATGCAATAAAAGAAAAGAAAAAAACTAGAAAACGAAAAAATCAGAAAAGAACACCACCTTTGCTTGACTTCAGAGAGTGGATTTTCCTCTCTTAGAAAATGTCTTGTTTTGATTTACATGTAACTGTGGAGCCTTTTCCAATCTACCTTGAAAGGTATAAGTGACATTATTTAAGAACCATGTTTAATGAGGGAAGATGAGGATTCTCCGAATGCACATGAATTAATTAATGATGTTTTAAGCTGAACTTAATATTTACAAAAGATATTTGATTTTCTGTTGTGAAGAATAGTGTTTATCCATGTTTTTTTTTTTTTTATTTTTATTGCAGAGACGGAAGATGTGAACAAAGATTTTCTCTGTCGGACAGGCAAGATCGTGGCAATGTCGACACGGTGTATTCTTGACTATAGTGAAAACGGAGATATCGTTGGCTGTCGAGATTTGTCCCATTTAGACGATTGTGGTATGTTTTAGACAAATAAATACAATCACATGAAGATAAACAGGAATATATGTAGAAGTAAAAGCCTAAGTAATGTATAAAACATGGTTATCTTTCAGATTCCACATCGTGTCCTGTAGGTTACATGAAATGTCCCGGAAGTTTTTGTATTCCTCCGCGATTTATTTGTGATGGTGAAAAGCACTGTAAAGACGGAGTTGACGAAATGCAGTGCGGTAAGCTGTTTTACTTATAGTTCTCTAATTATTTCAGTCCTGAACTACGTATACCAATGTGATTTGTTTGCTTGTAGGGTCTTGTCCAGGTCTATACAGATGTGAAAAGAGCACAATCTGCTTGGATCCGCAAAGGTTATGTGATAATATCCCCAACTGCCCTAATAGAGATGACGAACTACTTTGTTACATCACGTGTCCGGAAGAGTGTGTTTGTGATGGCCTTTCTGGCATGTGTGAGGGTTTTCAGAATATAAGTACAGAAAGGCTTCCAAAAGAGCTAAGCTTTTTAAACATTAGTGGAAATGATTTGAGTAATGGTTTGCCATCTCTACAACATTTGATTCATTTAGTCCGATTGTTTATTACGGACTGTCAATTGACATCGATAAGATCCTATTCCTTTATCAACCAGCAAAATCTTTTGGTTCTTGATCTCAGAAATAATAAAATAACCCATATTTATTCCAATGCCTTCACTGGGCTAGTGTCTTTGAAAGTGCTGAACTTAAAGGGGAACGATCTCCTCAATCAAATAGCAGATTCGGCTTTTCTCGGATTGAAAACGCTACCTAGAATAGTTTTAACGGATACCAATTTGTGGTCTATTAAACAGAATACTTTAGTGGGTCTACAAAACGTTAGCCTACTGAATTTGTCATCAAACAATATTCATTATGTTTCGGATTATGCTTTTCAAAATTTGTCTGAATTATCAGTTTTGGATCTACGAAACAATAAAATTGAAGAGTTCTCATCGAAAATCTTTAATGGGCTTTCAAAACTCGACAAATTGTACACAGATGCATATGCATTCTGTTGTCTGAAACCTTCGTCAGTTAAGGAGTGCTTACCAAATGCAGATGAATTCTCTTCATGTGATGACCTCATGAGAAACAATGTCCTGTCTACGTTCTTGTGGATTATGGGATTTAGTTCTTTATTGGGAAATCTGGGAGTCTTCATATTCAAAGTATTTTTCGACTCAGAAACTTTGAAGAAAGGCCATGGAATTTTCATAACGAATTTGAGCGTTTCTGATTTTCTGATGGGTGTTTACTTGATAATCATAGCCTCTGCCGATGAACATTATCGCGGGAGATATGTCTGGAATGATTTACATTGGAGATATAGTATAACTTGTCAAATAGCCGGTATGCTTGCTACTATTTCGAGTGAAACTTCGGTTTGTTTGCTGTGTTTAATTACAGTTGATCGTCTCATCGCCGTCAAATTTCCATTTGGACAGTTTAGGTTTACCAGGAGAAGAGCTTTATTTAGCATTGGCGTCTTATGGAGCATTACAGTTCTCCTAGCAGCCATTCCTCTGATTCCAGGTGGATACTTTCAAGAAGAGTTCTATTCTCGATCCGTCGTTTGTCTTGCTTTACCCCTAACTAGAGACAAGCCAGCTGGATGGGAGTACTCCACAGCAATCTTTATTATACTCAATTTCTTACTCTTTGTGATTATTGCATTGGGACAATGTTTGATATACATGGAGATCTCACAAACAACTGGGAGTATAAAATCCACTAGGCGAAACCAGGATATGGCTATCGCTCGAGGGCTATTCCTAGTGGTTTTGTCCGACTTTGTCTGCTGGTTTCCGATTGGAATTATGGGTAATGTCACGTAATTTCGCGTAGAATACGAAAAGCAATATGTTTTTTTTTATTAGAAATTCAGTCCATTATATTACGTAGAAGAAATATCACTATTTTCTATGCACTTCAGGGTTACTTGCCTTAAATGGGTATGTGATATCAGGAGAGGTGTATGCGTGGGTCGCCGTTTTTATCCTCCCGATCAACTCGGCCTTAAATCCATTCCTCTATTCCTTTGCAAATCTAAGGAGAAGGGTCAGTATAAGAAGTCAAACACGTGTATGCAACTGTAGAAATTCTTCATTGTGCTGATTATAGGTTTTGGCATTAACGTAACAATTTCATGAACTTTATACAATTCACTGAAAGGTTTTACTGTATGAAGTAATGTTGTTACTCTATTGTGTTAAAAATTTAAAATTTCTACTACTTTTATAAAATACGGTAAGCCCACGATACAAGTGATACAAATGTTAAATATCTATAATGGATTGATATTATTTCTAGGTTGAGACAAGACTGTCATCTAAAAGGAAAACAGTATCTCGATGTCTTTGTAAGTGGTTAGCAGCAAATTAATCAAAAACTGCAAAAAATGCATTTATAAATCTTAATTTTAAATCTTAATTACACAAAATATGTAGGAGTTTCAAAGTAATTATTGAGTGTTGCTGCATAACACTGAGCATAAATCCGTGTCTTTTCAATCAAAGTTTTAAAAATACAATTGCAAAGTATATGTACAAGTATCATTATTTAACGACGACGGACCTAATTCATTTCTGCAATAGATTTTTTATTCAAATTTTAATATGAGGTAAAGTGACTTTTGGTGAGTTAAAATCAATAAAAAAAAATCATATGATCATCGATGTAGATTTTTAATGGGGAGCGTTTCAAAAGTTGGCAATCGAAATCGATAATTACTATCGGAAGTAATGGGGAATTGCCAGTGTAGGGTATAAGAGTGATCATTGAAAAAATTCTGCAATAGAATTTTTATTCATATTAAAGGACAATGTTAACAAGACAATTAACCAGCATATTATGCCAAAAATAAATGGGTCATCGGCTTAGATTTTTCAGGGGGGCATGTCAAACTCAGGTGTAGGGCACATTTCGGGGGAAATTTTCAATGGAAATACCTTGGCCAAATAAAACATTTATTTATAAAATCAACAAATGAATATAAATCGAAATATTTACAATATTTTTGAGTTTGAATATCTTTAAAAGAATTAAAAATATATATATTTTTATCTTTTGCAATGCATAATTAAGTCAATTTGATTCAAGGCATATGCGCGGTTTTCTGCGCAGTGGCACGAAATTTTGAATTAGGTCCGTCTTCCTTAAATTATCATAAGTTAAATTAGATTATTAAGAGAGGATTTTTATTTTATAATATACTGTACATGAAGACCTCTTTTTCTTTGACAGCTACGACAGAGACCCTGACCGATCTCTGCGATAGCGAGCTCTTTGTGATCGGTAAGAATGCCTCTCTCTTCGTCACGCTCTCTGACTACATGCAGGATCACAAACTCACTGTACCGGAAATGAAATTCATCGTCCTCCGATTGGCCGAAGCCATGAAGTTCTTACATGAGCGTGATCTAGTTCATGGGTGTTTGGATACGAATCTTGTCTCACTCAAATTTGAGGATGGGGTACATACTTTTTTTTCTATGAAATTACTAGTAGTATTTAAATTCTATTCATAGCTAACTATAAATGCATATGTTAACATTTGTTACTTTGAGAGCATTATCAACTCACTTAATCTTTCTTACTGCATTTAGCTACTGATTGAAATAATCAATATTGTTATAAATGCATATTTTATTGAAATTTACAGGTCGGTCAATAATGAATAACTTAAAAATGTCATATTTTAAAAACTTTTCATGTCTTTTGTTTAACAGAAAATAAAAGACCTGTCTGTGAAAATTGTTCCACGTGAAGCAGCAAAGGACGAGGATATTCCGAACGACATCAAACAGCTGGGGGAATTATCGTTAAAATTGCTGAAAAACCACCAAAGTAACACCACCAATAACACTCATTAAAAGAAAAAAAACTTTTTTAAATATGTCCTGCACAGGAAAAGCATCCTTGACAATGACATTTTAAACAGTTTAACTGTTTAAGTAAATATTTGTGTTACTTCATTGAAATGTTGAACGACCGGTGTTCATCTGCACCTTGTCAGCGCTTGTAAATGCACCATTTATCCTTATGACAAATAAGTGATTACTGTAACTGATTTACAGTGACGCTCAAAGCAATCTTGTAAAATTCGTAGAAATTCCAGTCTTCTTGATTTCTTTTTACAATATTTATTTTCATATACAGATTGTTCAAGTGGTCAGTGTTCATCGGACACGAGGTTTCCAAATCCTGCATCTTTTGATCATGAAAATTCAACAAAAATTAAACAATGCCAGGTGGCAAAACATGATTGTAACGGTGCTACACATTCATTCATCAAATAATATTACATTTGATACCAAACATTTACTGTCCCACTAATTCTAGCATGTTCTTTATCACACATTTATTACATCATTTAACCAAGTACTCTACAGGTCTGAGAATATGTTAACGATCGTGAGTGATTTCTTAAGGATAATTAACACAGAAAAAATTGCATAGATTAATAAACATTAATTCTTGGACTGATTTTGTATAGAATTGACAAAAGCAACAATTCCTATAATATAAATAAATAGTTGTTTTCTTTGGTGGTGAATTATGTGATTTTTGCCATTTTTTTAAAATATAAATCTATCTTTTATGACATCATTAAAAATTTTACGAAATTTCCACACTTTCTCTGACAAACATTATTTAGGTTATCTGAATGAACATAAATCTATTAGATATTTCGATGACTTCTGAAAAAAAAAATGTTTGTGTTATAGTTATAAGGACCCTTAATTTGACGATGCATTCTGTATTTTGTTATTTAACTCCATAGACGATCATAAATGTTCACGTATCATGTTAAGTACAATGAAATATGAAGATAACGAACAGTAATCAAGCTCAAAAGTCTATTTAAACAATACAAATCTGCATGGAGCAGAGCTAACACGGACCTCTAAAAACACCAGAGGTGGGATCAGGTACCATAGAGGAGTAAACATCCCCTGCCAAACGGCCACAGCTAACTTATGCTCCTTGTCGTGATCGGACAAACGGAAAAATTCGTGAACAATTCAGTGTAAAAATAATGGCCTAACATTATGTATGAAAAACGTCAGTCAACATGCGACTTAGATTGTATTTGCTGACAAGGACATTGTATCGACCATAGAATTTGCCGAATGCTGACTTAAATGAGACTATTACTATTCTTGTTTCATCAACTTATTTGTCAATAGCTTGCCTCGGTTTGTAAAAATCGTTCGTATATAGAGCATGCTATTGCGTACTGAATCAATGGGAAAAACAAAAACTCCATAAGTGATAATGATATATTGCTACATACGAGGGGTTATCAAAAAGTTCGTGGACTGACGCGATAAAATTAATAATATGTAGTCTTTGCTTACAAAATTTATGCGGAACATAAAACAACAGAAGTTTAAGAAATGTTGAAAATTTTAGCTTGATACGTTGATAATTTGCCAAATTATTCTAAAATTAAAAAGACTTTATGTGATCACCCGGCGCTGTCGCCGTTTAGTGTCATGACGTCCGCTTAACGTCATTGTTTCTTAATGTCCGCTCTCTCTACCTCATACACTTATCTTGATGAGATTACATGGAGTTAAGTAAGGACTTAAACCCGTCTTATATATATGAATTTACAATGTCATGAGCAGCTGTTTTCAATGCATATAATATTGTAAATGGATCTTTATATGGGGAAAGTTCCTCACTTGATTATGCCAGAATACTTAGCTTGTTGTAGTTCAATTTCTACCACACATGATCAACGTCACTTTTCGACGTGACTGACTTTAGACACCCTGACTACAAATCGACACTAACTGTGCATATTTCATCTCTCTGAATCTTTTTGGGCATTAAAAAACAAGTACTCTGGATGCATTTTATTTTTCTGTAGCCAGTTTAAACATTCCTTAGGTCAATACCAGTTTTTCCAGGAGCGAAACTCTATAGAGTGTTTGAAAAAGAAACCCCTCACCCTTTTTGACGATATTTTCAAGCCCATAATTGTTTGGACACTCCATATAAAATTTACGATAAAATTTTATAGAAATTACAGAATGGGGTAAAAATTGCAAATTTTACTGAACAAATGTGTCGTACCACATGCCTGAATTAACGAGATTTTTATGATGACAAATACTCATATCTAAAGAGTTTTTCTCAGTTACACTCAGATAGAAATAAACGTCATATTAGAGGTTGCGCCGCCTGGACATACCTTTGCTTACAAAAACACTAACAATTTATTAAAAAATAAAAATTATGATTTATGGTTTATTCTATAGATAGAAAAGATGATGCTAACTAAATGTGTAAAAATTCATTGATGTACCTAAAGCGGTTTTAATTTTATGACGCTAGTCCACGAACTTTTTGATAACCCCTCGTAAATAGAAGAAGTTGATAGAAAAGTGGAAGTCATCACGTTTAACACAAAGTTTTGTTGTAGATAACAACTGACGTCTTATTCTAATAAATGTCCAAATATGAAACAGATGTGTCAGACTCTGTGGTATCTTATAAATTGAGTTAAAAGGATATTTCGAATCAACGTGAATCCAAATGAAAATAATTGATGAAACGTCGTTCGATATATCTAAATGTTGAATTGTAAACCATAGCAAGAGATTTCTTTTTACTTTTTCTTTACAATAAATGAACCTTGTCACTTATAACAATATTTTTCAAATTTGACGAGGCACGGACAATTCTATACGTTAAGTTTGGCCACCAGAGACTATTCTTACACTTATTGTGTAGACCCTTCAACAAAGGATTCCCCAGGCAACATCGGAGAAACTTTACTCCTTCAGATACTGGTTTCATATAATAAAACATTCATCATAACCAACCTTCTTCTGGAATGTTTACTATCAAGTAAACATTCCTATGAATTAATACTATCTACATGGTAAACTTTCCGCAAAACCATCTTTCCCTCGGCATGTGTTAAACCTGCCTACGAATAAATACGATATGGTAAACCTCCCTGGATTCATCACCGATTTTTTACTCCGGTGTTTACAAACTAACAATGCATCCTGATAGCTGAATTCAATCATTATATTAAATCCATATATACAAGTACACATTAGATTAAATGCAAATAGATCAAAGTTGAGAGGGAATTAAGGTTTACTAAACAACTAAATTCTAGAGACATGTAGAAGGTCTTCCTCCATGGAGGGAAGGTTGACTTAATAGTAGATCTTCCGGGGGATGATTTAGTATACAGGAAAGTTGAATATATAAATCATCCTGCGAATGATTTACAACAGGGGGAAGCTTTTTTTAAAGGACACCAGTAATTACATGTAGGAAGTTTCTGAAGACTGAAAATGGGCAACATAAAATCTCAGGCAAAAATATGGGTAAGTCACATCAGAAAACATGTGACTTAGATTCCAATCTCTGCTATTTAGCTAACCTTGACATGTGATTATCTGTTATTGGTAGAACCCACAAGGCAAATTTTGATGTCTGGATTGTCACTCTCTTGTTTGTATAGTTCATGCCCAGTAAGTCAAAATGAAGAGCAGTCATTTTAGACGAATCTGCTCACTGTTTTGGTTCTAACAGGTCACAGATTAAAGAGTAAATTAGAGGTACTGTGAGTACTGACCTCATAAAATTATGCCCTTACTTCCATGTTTAGCATAGACAAAGCCAAAATATCTGTCCTATTAAAACGTAAAATAGTGATGCACAATGGCACTATGTAACAAACATTATGTAAAAGTTTCAGTAAATTATATTCAGTGGAATAGGAGTTGTGGATGATGGATGGGCGCTCCTATGTGTCACAAATGGACAAATCCGCCCAACAGTATATACCCCACCCGGGTAAAAACAACTTGGAAATATATAAGCTTTTTTCATTCAAAATCAGACTTCCGAAAATGAAATCATCTTGATTTTTTTTTTTATTTCAATGTCTATCAATATATAAATAGTGGACGGACATTTTTGTAACGAATTAGAAGTTGCAAATTTAGTGTGATGTATATAATATAGGCCTTTGTCAGAGGCTTTGAAATGAATCTCCAGTAGAAAGTTAACAGGAAGAAAAAGCAAACTTCTAAATCACACTGCGGTTCTCTCTAAGATTAACTAATAAATGCAGCAAACAATGCATTTCTAATAACAAATAAAATCTTATCAATATTATGTGAAATAATCATTCCACAGTACTTAGAGAGAAAAGTTTATCACGAACTAGAATCACAACATCTTTTAACATAAAATATGCAAAAAAATTAAAACATCTTAATAAATGTGTATCTGTAGTTTTTCGCAAAAAATAATATTTTATCACAGACATTGGGCATTTATTAGTGATTTGTTTTATAAATGCATTAAGGAACACAGTAACATCTCTTAATCAAATCAAGCCTCGATCTTATACAGTATGAAACATAAAAATTTCAAAAATTACATGTAACAACATGAAACTTAAAGAAAACTGCTACACTTTTCTAATGTTAAATCACAACACATTAGCCTAGTTCAAACATCATGTGACAAAAAATGAACCTAATCATTGTAAGAATACATATTTTTTTTTTAACAACTTAACATTAAGTCCTAATTCTACATAACATTGAACAGAAGCCTCTCTTTCAGTAAATAGCCTCATTTTCAGTATGCCGTCTCTCTTCGCCCAGAACCTGGCCTGTTCTCTAACTGGAGCTCCTCTAACTGTATAACAGTTCTATGGGAGTCCAGTTCTAGTTCATTCAGCAACTGTTCAGCAATTCTACTCCGCAGTCGACCACCAACCTAACAAAAAATTAAATATAAGTTCACAGTTTAAAGTCAGTCAAGATCATATCTGTGCTCAGTCAGAGAGAGGATAAGATGAATCCAAAATGAAAATGTTTCTGAACCCTACACATCTAATTATAAAATTACCTCTTTTTTTAAAAACAGAATTATTTAGAAAAAAAGATCAACAGAAATAAGCACTATTTCCTAAAGCATGTTATTATATATTTTTGTACACCGTCTCCAAAAAGTTCAGTAAATGGCTTGATCATTCAATTATGCATATCCATGTATCAGAATTAGCATTAATGGTTAATCATTGTTGAGCAATTATCCTATGAACTGTTAACTGAAGCTGAACAACTATATGTTATCAACAATGCAATCTAAGAGTCATGTAGTAAATTATTAAGAAATTTATCTATTTATTATTTGACCATATTGAAAGCTGCTGCTCTTCTACTCGGAGATAGCTGTCACAGTTCAAGAGAACTTTATCTTTCTTATAACCAGAAGTCTTTCAGATGTCAGAAAAACACATTTCAATTCAAAACCTCATTAACAGCTCAATAGCATTTTTGCATTAACAATACAATTGCCAGTAACAAATGAAATGCATGCTCTATTTTGTAATTAATAACAATGCAGAACTGCATGATTTTTAGATGGAAGAATAAAACATCAACATTTATGAATATATGTACATGTATATCATTGTAACATTACAATAGTACTGAATAATAAAATGTAAATACAATTAGCAAAACATCACTTTGGCTAAGGACACTGATGCAAATTATTCTAACATTCTGCATAAAAGAAGACATTTTTAATGAATGGATTTGTTTTACTCCTGAATGACATAGGACTTTTGGTCTCTTTACTCAATCTCTCTCTCCTTAAGTTGCAAGAAAGTCATATTTTCACCTATCTATGTAAAATCAATTTCATTGAAAAAAAATTATGAACGTGATGAAAAAGAAACCAAGTTTTGATATGATCCAGGATGCAAATGAAGATATTCTTATCATTAATACATGTATGTTGTATTAAAGCAATATGAGCTGCATTTTATTTTGTTGTTAAAATGTGCTGTTACAATAAATCTGTATGTAATTAAAACATTTAGACTAAAATAAAGGGGTTTTTTTTTTCAAAAGAAAGAATTTTGTACAATGGAATGTGTAGTATTATATAAGAAATCAATATTGTACAGGACGACAAAAATGTAATTTTGCTTTTATCAAAGCTTATAAACAGTTCATTCATCGCAAATATGAACAACAGAAGTTTATAAAGTACTTTCTATTTTCTGTCAATGAAATAGTTAATTACAATATTGCAACAAAAAATTTCAGACATCAAAGTTGCAGCTCATGTTATCACAGAATATTCCTTCAGAACACAGGTTAATCTGCACAAATGTCCTTCAAATGATGTCTAGATGTACATGAAATCCACAACCATATCATATAATAAAAGTTTAAGAACTTTGTATTAAAGAATCTTATAATTCAAAGATTACTTAAGATATTAAAATAGCTGTGAAGTCTATTCAGTGACTATAGATCTATTTTTCATTCCCTTTATGAAATCCTCATTAAAACAAAAATTGTTATTTATATAAATTTTCCAAAAATATTACATCTGTAGGGAAATGTATTTTATATCATTCGGAACAAAAATGAATGTTAAGAATAGAATTCAATTTTTCTAGAGTTTACCATACTCACTCAACGGTATTTTTTAGCCATTAAAACATGAGCCTGAGAAATAAGACAAGTAGATAATTTATGACTTTAATCTGCATCTGTAGCAATGAAATTATATTATTTTGTTAATGAAATGGTTTCAATTCCTTATTACCAGATCTTGAACCAAAAGTCAAGTGCCATTTCAAAATCATTGAAGGTACATTAAGGCAATAAAGTGGAATTCTAACAAGGTAGTCTATAGTACATTTATTTCAAAAGAAAACACTGTCTTTATTATTTTTCAGCCAAAAAAAAAAAAAAAAAAAATCAAATGTACTTTCCAGATTATGTCTTGTCTTACATTTTTTATAGAGGGAAATGTCAAATAAAATAAATATGATACTGTAATTTCTAACATTCTGAATCCATGTCTTCAAAAGCTGCCATGCACTTCAACTCTTTAGTTCAATCATTAAAAATTCAGATTCATGCATTCCAATTTAAGCTAATTAATAGAGATTAAATCTCTGAGTGTTATGCTATTTTGACATTGTTAGCTACATCTTTATTATAGCATTTCATGACAATAACATGCATACTCCAGTAAATATTTAATACACAGGCACTCTGTAAAAACCTATACAACCCATTCAGTAAAGCTGATTCTGTCAGTTATATACCTGTTCTGTAATTGAGTGTCTAAGTTTCCCACTGACCTACAGAGGTTGTTACATAAAAAAATATCATATATTAAGCATTAGCTGCAAAATATTCCCCATAGTTCACAAATAAAATACCCCCCCCCCCCAAAAAAAAAGGATATATACATTCGAATTATAGTTTAGTTTAGTTACTGTTTAGATATTCCAGAAGATTTGTCTGGTTACAATACATGTACCTTGTCATTTTACAAAGCATACACTAAGATTTTTTTCATCAGAACAATTTTCAAGTCACAATGATTGACAGAAGTTGCTACTAAAAAGAGTTCCCCTCCTGATTTATCTAATTCCTTACACAGAATTACAGTTTTACTAAATAGTTACACAAGCTTACAGTTTTAGGTCGCTGTATTTTCCTCTCATCCAGATAATTTAACTCTTCACTGACTGGTGGTCCCCCAGGAGCCCCTGGGGTCAGACTGCGGTTTGCCGGCCACATGACTGGAGGGGGCCAATTAGATGTAGGGGTGTTGTGACTTCTCGTTCTCTGAGCTGACTGAATGCGGGATCGAGCCTTAGCTGTAATTGAAGGTAACAGCCATTGATTACTTTTACATATTTGAAGAATTTCAAAACTATGACTGCCTGCATATTCAAATCTACATGTAGCTATGTATCTTAACATTACTTTCATTAATCCTACACTTTTCTGACTACATTTGCTGAATAAAAAGAGAATTATATGACATCTCTTGTTTAAAGAATCAACATCTAACCTTCTGAAGCATAAAGTTGACTCTGTGAAAAATTCATACATAGAAAATAAATCTTGTACATATGTGCATTACACATCCTTTATCCCCCATTAATAAAGTAGACCAAAGTGGTGCAATCCTTCAATGAGACAGGATGCAGGTCTGGTTTTATGAATGTGTACTTCAGAAACGATGACCAAACTTACATGGTGCGGGAGACATTGCCATGGAGGACTGGGCTCGGCTAATGTAACAGCTCTCCAAATCGTACACCTACAAAATAGCCAAGATTATCTGAACATACATGTGTATACAGGGTTATAAAATTATTGTGAAAGATTGAAATCCATGTCAATAGAAGCAATTAAGCTACAACTTCTCCAGAATCAGTTGAAATTCCCATGCACAGTTAAACATGACTTACGTAATCTAAAAATCAATTTACTCAATTAACTTTGTGAATGAGTCAATTTCTAACTTCAGATGTGTGTTATTACTTAATCATCAAGTTTGTAAGCTTGTAACATGCATATACGAACATGCTCATATAATTAAGCTGAAGATCATTTAATCAAGTAAAACTCTTCATAGTATAAAAGATCTTACTGAAAAAACTCATATTGAGTGAAATAAGCACCTGAGTTTGTAGATCATCCACTCTGGTGAATGCATCCAGTTTCAGTGACCTTTCATGACTGAGTTGTTTTCTGACAGTTTCTATGTCCTTGCGGATTTTGTCCTGTTGCATATGTTGCATACGGATCACCTTATCCTGCTCATCTGACAGAATTCGAAGTCTTGTGTCTCTGTCCTTCAGCTCTACTTCCTGTTAACAAAGACACACACAATACACTCCTGGAATACTTTACTTTGCAAAAATCATATTTGGTAAAGATGAAAGTAATTTCAATATCAAAGTTTAGTATACAGTTTTCTTTCATTATTTAGTACATAAGAATTTACTTTCAATGCAGGTAACACTTTTGTACTTAAACAATTGATTCAGTGAGCATCAAAATGCAAGACATTTAAATGTACTTTAAAATCTGAATATCACATAAACAGATTGTTTCTATGCTTGCCTGTATGGCTGTTCCTGGGTAACTCTGTCAGTTGTATACATGTATATTGACCTATTACCAGTTTCTCTGTGTTAGCCTGTTTGGCCATCTCTAGTTGTTTGTGTCTGGAGGGAGCTCTATGTATTGACTACTTACCAGTTTCTCTATGTTAGCCTGTTTGGCCATCTCTAGTTGTTTCTGACTGCGAGCTCTCTGTTGGGCTTCATGTGTCTTCTCCTGTTTCTCTTTTAGCTATAAAATTCAGTAAGCTTTTGTTAATTAACACTTCCATTAACACATGTAATCCAAACAGAATAAAAAGTCCAATGATTGCACAAAACAAGACATATTCATTGAAACATAAAGCTTACATATGTTCTTTCAATTTTTTTTTATTTTTTGGTATCAACTGAAGATTTTTGTACTAGAAGCTATAAGCTAGAATTTAAAAATTGCCTATAACTAAGTCTAGAGTAAAAACTCTTCAATCACAACATTTTCAATTTATATTTAGTGTCTTGTGTGTCAATATACTTAAAAACCTGATCTCTTGTAAAAGAAACGGATCTCTTTCTCTAGTTTCTGCTGTAACAGTTACCAACCCCCTTCTCTAGTTTCTGCTGTAAAAGATACTAACCTCTTTCTCTAGGTTCTGCTGTAACAGCTACCAACCCCTTTCTCTAGTTTCTGCTGTAATAGATACTAACCTCTTTCTCTAGTTTCTACTGTAAGAGTTACTGATCTCTTTTTCTAGTTTCTGCTATAAAAGTAACTTACCTCTTTCTCTAGTTTCTGCTGTAAAAGTTACTAACCCCTTTCTCTAGTTTCTGCTGTAATAGCTACTAACCCCTTTCTCTAGTTTCTGCTGTAATAGCTTCTAACCTCTTTCTCTAGTTTCTGCTGTAAAAGATACTAACCTCTTTCTCTAGTTTCTGCTGTAAAAGTTACTAACCTCTTTCTCTAGTTTCTGTCGGATATCATGACACTCTTTCTCAGCGACCTTCAGAGCATCCTTGATCTGGTCTAGCTGCTGATAGAGTGAGATTCTCTCCTGCTCGTACAACATGTCTGCCTGAGTTTTCTCTTTCTGGCTCATCTCAGCCTGCTTCCTCAGATTAGCCACCTACAAATGGAGAAACTGGTTACAATATCATCTAATGAAATGGAAATTATCCAATATCAGTATCACTTGTGGATTTCAAAGTCAGATATCCTTTTGTGTGCATGTATCAACAACATATTGTCTTATCTGACAAAAAGACAAAGTATTAGATCATGTAACATATAGCTCCTGACAGTTGCCAGCATTTGAGAAATTAGATGCAATTTTACATTCTACCTTATCCTAACATGAATGAATCAATATGATCAGAATGAGAAGAAAATTGCAAAAAATTGAATGAACACATAGTCAATAGGGTCTGTAAGTCTCGTCACGTGACTCGCGAGATTTTTCGATAATATTAACTTCCGGGTACCTCACTCATGGAGATGTATTGCTATTGGGTTACACGTGTTTATGGTTTACACAAAGCGTACAAGGAAAGATTAAGCAGTTGTACAAAGCCGAAGGGTTCTCCGACGTACGATGGATGAATTGAGTGTCATAAAAGCTTGGATGCGAGCATCCAGGAGGAGAATTTCGATCGAAGTACAGGTAAACAAGTCGGAGAATGTCACCTGTTTCTTGTGTATTCTTGGGGGAAATTGAAGTGTCTTGTATCATACCTGGATGGAATAGTTTTGTAATCATCATTCCAATTAATTTATTAACAGATTTTTCTTGAATTCGAGAACAATGATGTTAATACCATCTGATAAAAGAGGAATAGTGTAAGTGCCCGATGGGTACGAACGTCATCTTGTGACTGCATCACCTTTGTTTCGGTAAATAATTTGTTCAGAATACCCTTCATTTATCGACAGAATTTTAGCTGTTGCGTGCCAGTGAGTCTAGTCTTAAGCATTCAATGTTTGAAAGAACATATTTCCCAAGGATAGATTTTCTTTATATATTCTGCCAATTCTCTCTGTATTTATCATTGAACAAAATTCACATGACTGCAACAATATGACGATATTCTTCAGTTTAGAGAGCATGTTATAGAGGAGATTTTGGTTAAAGTTTCAGTCTGTTAAGGTTTCGGTCTGTTTCAGTGTTTGAAATATTCTTTCGTCTTACACAATTGTATACATTAAGATTCATTTTATAGCTAAAATACAAGAGAACTGTAGCACCGAAGACTACATGTACATCGATTTGAATAATCTGTATCCTCAAAAGGCAAATCAAATACAGGTATGAAATAATGTCACAAAATAAGTTCTTGGACTTACATTTACTCTGATAATACACATAAAGCATATATCAAAAATAGTAACGAATTATAGGTACGTCAGGTGACAACTCTATCAAGTATGGAATATTATTAATGCTGAGTTTCCAATTGTCAAAAGGGTATTCAATATATTCAATACGAGTTGTCAATCATTTATAAGTGATTTGTCCAGTGGTGCTTAACTTTTCTCCCACAGGTTTTTACACATTCACCCATCATTTATCTATACTGTATTCAAGCATTTCTGGACTTTTTTTGTTGGAAGATGTAAGATTTTTGAAGTCCTTTATGATTTGGACACTTTTTCTTGATCCAGTAGATGCTTTTTTTTTCTTAATTAACATGACACTGACAAATATTGGACCCCCATAACTTGAATGAATTGTCATTTCTTGTGAGGATGATGTAGTTGTAATTAGTATAGATCTATGCTGAGAAGAAAGAAATCTATATAACCAAGCAGTTTTGTGTACTTGTTTGTACTTGTTTTTTTTTTATAGCTTGTATTTTTTAAAATAAAAAAGCACAGTAGCATAGTGGTTTTCTACTGAGAAACCAAGGTTCATTACACAGTATTGGTGTAATATTGTTACACCTGAATATGTTATAACCTGATGCATTTGGCTCGGGCAAAAGGGTACTTGTGCATCTAAGGTGTTGATCAATGATGGGTCTAATCAATATTCACAAATGTCACATATGCATATAACCAACATGTCAGCGATGTATATGATATATCTCTCAAGAAACATCAAAGTGTAAAAAAACAAAACTTTTTTTCTATGCATCTGAATCATTTATAACACTAAAATTGTATTTAAAAATTAGGCTAACAATAATGTCAAAGAACAATATAGTCTTTAACACATAAGTACAATTTTGCATTCATTCCTCTATTCACTCTATTGTATTAAATGAGGTTCATTTGCATATAAATGTTGTTTACATTGTTTTACTGTCTTTAATAACTTGTAATACTAAATTTTATAACTTGACAAATTCTTCTTTTTAGAAAATGCATATAATTTGGAAAAGAGACCACCAATCCACTGGGGGGTATCGCATGAAAGCAATGGTATTACAGAATATTGTAAAGCTGGATGAGTTATAGTGAAACAGGTAGGCAAGTATTTTGTTCTTGGAATTCTTCGCCCCAGTTAAGTTTTATTTTTCTCATTCGGCCCTCATTACAAGTAGGTGAATTTAAAGCGGGGCAAATTCAAAGAAGGCAGCATATATCTTTTAAACACAAATGTGCTTCGTCAAATTTTAAAAGGGCAAAATTGTTTTCAAGAGTGAAAGAGTGAATATATTAAAAATTAAAATGGGGTGAAAATACCCAATAATACAGGTTATATGTATTTATGTATTAACACAGTATATTCTTTATAATGAAAATAATTTGTTCTGTAAAAGGACAAATTTTGTTCTGATTTGTATTTAATAAAAAAATTAATGCCAGATTTATAACATATTTTGCAGGCACCTAAATTACCATCAGTTGTGTGTCAAGCTGTGCAAAAATTCTATGTCATATTACAGAATCTTTTCTTAAATATAGGTATATGTCTGCTCATCTGGCAATCTTTGGACATCACTGGATGGTACTTCCAGCATGAAGACCAGCTAGTTGCCTCACCTGTCTTGACATTGTTAAAGGTAAGTGACCCTTTCAGAAAAGGATCTGACAATGCAAAGGCTTGCTCATCAATTAAAGATTTCTATTTACCAATAGCTAATTAATTTGAATTTCTGTAGCTTAAAAATTTAATGTTATGAATTAAAAAAAAATATTTTAATCAAAATTATTTTTATTTCAGTACTTTGAGACAGTGAAAAGACATTACTGCATCAGAGATCTATCCAGGTTATAAATCTGAGGAAAACAATAAAGCATCATTTGGAGCTACTTATATCACTGCCTTAACGAGTTGTCTGCAGACGGGGCATCCTTAAAAACTTCAGTCGCACTCGTCACTTAGAATAGAAAACTTCATAATTTTATAACTTTTGTATCAATCCTTTTGCACTTCATCTGACTTGGAATTTCAGTAGCCTTTACATGTAACATCCTTCAAGCATTTCATGAAGTACCAACTTGCAGGTGTAAAATGTTTGTCCCAAATGAAACAAAAACAAAAATTCTCTGGCAGTTAGCAGTGTCCTGAGCAGTTGATTGATGTCACAGTTCCACCGGCATAGTATTTGTAGTTGAATGGTGCCATTTTTAAGAAAACTTTTCACAAAAACCTGGAAAACATCAGATGGAAAGGAGCATCTACAAGAAAAACAGTGAACACTTTCTTGAATATTAACAATGATATGTCATGCCCCATTTACATCCTTTATATAAACTAATTAACCAAATCATAGAGAATTATATACAAATTTGTCCTTTTGTGTATTTATAGTGTATTAAATTGATTTTACTAATTTATAAATATTTATGTTTTTCGCAGTCATAAATATTTACAAATATAATCGGATTTATGCAGTGAATACGTTATAAATCCATTTATCACAGCGCACCACGTGGAATGATGCGCGCGCAATATCTGCGCCAAGTATCGAAACAGTCAATTATCAACCATACTCCAAAGATACACGTTTTTGGGTGTGCTGCAAACTTTTTAGAAATTTTTTCAAATAATTTTCCGGAGAGATGCCTAAACGAAAGTCAAATACAACTGCAGTTACAGCCGACAAAAAGTCTTCCAGAAAAGAGACAGCTACCACCAAGGCCCCACAAAAGGAGGGAGTAAAAGAAAGTAGTACCAGTTCATGTGAAGGGATGCCCAGCAATGAGGAAGACATCGCTGCCACTATCAGCTCAGTAGGTACGTCAGCTTACTTACCTACACCTATTGTTAGCGTAACAGATTCATTGGGTTACAACATCTCACCAAAAACACGGGAAAAAATACAAAATGGGGAGTATTTAGATCTGGGTGTTTTATTGGAATCATCAGATGAAAGGGATAAGAAAAACAAGCTCAATTTAGTGGACGGGGAACTCGTCCTTCAACAGGGGAAAAGTGGGAAAATCACCGACATTGGGAAATGGACTGATGCGTTTCTTGTTTTTACTAGTGTTTACGTTGAAGCACACCCCGATCAATCACTTGGTTTACTTAAATATATGCATACGGTTAGACTGGGTTCTTATAGATCTCCCACGGGCTGGAAATTGTATGATGAACAATTTAGGCTTAAGAAGGCAAGAAATAGTTCTCTGGCATGGGGGGAAATTGACAATGAACTTTGGATGTTATACGTAACTTCTCCGCTAATCAATCCCCCAAAAGCAGTTGAACCGTCGAAGGGCATGTGTTTTGATTTCAACTACAAGGGTGCATGCAGTAAACCCTATTGTATTTATGCACATTGCTGTATCAAATGTTCATCTGAGCACCCAATGTTCACTTGTCCTCGCAATTCAGCTCTACGCTCTTCTGTACAAAAGCAGCCTTTTCGTTTTCAATCACAAAATCAGCAACCACGCCCAGGACAAATCCCAAAATATAGATTTCGCTACCCCCAGGGGGCTAATGCACCTCGGTCATTCTCCAGTAGACATTAATCAACTTTCAATATTGATACAGTCGTATCCAAACCACAAATTAGGTAATGAGTTGTTAAATGGGTTTAAATTTGGATTTTCGCTTCAGTATTTAGGTCCGCGTAATTACTTGGAGTGTAAAAATTTAATTTCGGCAAACCAGTACCCAAACGAAATTCATAGTATATTGCAAAGTGAAGTGGATATGGGTCGAATGGCTGGCCCTTTCCATCACCTACCACTCTCAAACCTGAGGGTGTCTCCAATAGGCGTCGTTCCTAAATCTAGCGGGGGGTGGCGTTTAATTACTCATCTGTCATATCCACATAACAATAGCGTCAACGACTTTATAGATAAAGAACTTTCATCCGTACACTACTCTTCATTCGACAGCGCTATCGAAATGATAAGTCAGCTCGGTAAAGGAGCTTTATTGGGCAAAATGGACATAAAAAGCGCCTTTCGACTATTACCAATAAAACCAAATGATTTTTGCCTACTCGGCTTCAAATTTGAAGGTAAATACTACATTGACAAATGTTTACCATTTGGTTGTTCTATATCATGCGCTACATTTGAGAAATTTGCTTCATTTTTGGAATGGGCCGTCAGGTCACAGTTTGGTTTCGCGCATGTTACGCATTATCTTGATGACTTTTTGTTTGCTGGTTCAGCTAATTCCGACGATTGCTTACGACTCATGAGACAATTTGGCGATTTATGTAAAGCTTTGGGAATTCCTCTTGCCATCGATAAAACTGTTGGCCCTGTCACAAAGTTAACCTATCTGGGATTGGAAATTGACACATGTCTGGGGCAAGTACGCATTCCAAACGATAAGCTAATTAAGCTTAAGATTTCGCTGACAGAAATGACAAATAAATCTAAAGTCACTTTGAAGGAGATGCAATCTCTGGTAGGTCAATTAAACTTTTGCACCAAAGCCGTGCGGTCTTCCCGCGCCTTCAATCGGCGTTTCTATGATGCTATGATTGGTGTGCAAAGGCAACATCATTTTATCCGCATTACAAAATCCATTAAAGACGATTTGCTCATGTGGCTTAATTTCTTGAATCACTTCAATGGCATATGCTATTTAAATGATGTTGATTGGTTAAGCAGTGATATTCTTCAATTGTATACAGACAGTGCTGGGGGTAAGAACCTGGGGTGCGGGGCGTACTTAAACGGCAAATGGGCCCACTTCGCTTGGCCCTCAACATGGGGGGAAACGGAAACTTTGAGGGACGTTACCTTTTTAGAGCTGGTCCCAATAGTTCTAGCAATGACATTGTGGGGAAAATACTTCAGATCAAAAAATGTTATATTAAGAGTAGATAATGCAGCCCTCGTATTCATCTTGAACAAACAGACGTCAAAATCTAAAAGAGTAATGCATTTCGTTCGTTATTTAGTATATCTCTCAATGAAATATAATTTTAGATTTAAAGCCAAACACATCCCAGGCTTATATAATAATATTGCTGATGCTTTATCTCGTCGACAGTGGACCAAATTCCGGGAACTAGCCCCAAAGGCAGATGTAAAACCAACCCCGATTCCACCGGTATTTCACTCACTGATATCAGGAGCGAAACCGTTAGATTAATAGACATGGCCACCTCAGACAATACTAAAGCGGCATACAACAACGGCTACGATTTATTTTGTAAGTTCAGGTCCGAGTTCCACCCCCGTAACTCTTGGCCACCAACGCTGGAGGAATTGACAAACTTTGTCGCTTTCCTTTCCGTCAAAGGTTACGCAGTTAGCACTGTCAAAACATATCTAGCAGCTATATCGCATAAGATTAAGATTTCCACCTCAGAATTACCGGATTATACTTCACATTTTATTATTCGAAAAATGCTAGAGGGAATGAAGAGAGAAAGACACTCCAAAGATACACGGTTACCAATAACGATTCAACTCCTCCACAAATTAATTAATACATTACCCATTGTATGCACATCGAGTTACGAGGCGAGCCTATTTTCCGCGGCCTTTTCGTTGGCCTTTTTTGGTTTTCTTCGAGTCGGAGAATTTACAGTAGGCCCTAGAAATTCAAACACAGCATTACTTAAGAACGATCTCATTATACACGAGTCTTCATCTTACTTAGAAATTAACCTTAGGAGGTCAAAGGCTGACCAGTACGGCAAAGGAACACAGTTAATTATCCCCGCTATCGGCGGTCCATATTGTCCGTTATTACTCATGCAGCATTATTTACAACAAAGACCGAATATTTCTGGTCAATTATTTTGTCATTTCGGTGGTAAACCGCTAACTAGATATCAGTTTAATTCAATCTTAACTAAATGCCTCTCGCGTCTCAGTATATCTGGATGCAACTATAAATCACATTCCTTTAGAATTGGAGCAGCTACATACTTCCATTCTCAGGGCGTTGATGACGAAACAATTAAATTGTTAGGAAGGTGGAAGTCAGATTGTTATCGCTTATATATTAGGATCCCGGCAGTCAAATAGAATGACAGCTTGAAATTAGATCTTTTTCGTTACAGAACATTATCAAGATATTTGGATCATCGGTTCATCATTAATTTCATGGGCCTTTTTAGCTGCGATTGAGTTAGGATTCACATCTGACCTTAATCTCGACAGGCATAATATACTGTGGCAAGGTCGAAGAGGAATGTGCTGGAGTGGTGTTCTTAAATTGTTAAAACATTTACTTGCATTTATCGATCCACCAAAATTTTTGGTATTACATTGTGGAGCAAATGACCTTGGCCGTATGAAGACCATTGAGTTGATAGTTGCAATAAAAGGTGATTTGAAAAAGATTCAAAAGCTCCTCCCGAACACTAAGATAATTTGGTCGCAAATGATAACTAGGATTGCTTGGAAATGTGAAGGGAGGCCCGACCTCGAAAGAGGTCGGGCGCGAGTAAATAGTGCAATTGCCAAACATATTTTAACCCATTATAACGGAGGGTACATTAAGCAGTCAAATATCCATCTCAGTCTCGACAATTACCGCCCCGACGGGATACACCTCTCTATGTCTGGTAATAAACTGTTCCTTGAAAATTTTAAAAGTGGGCTTACATCTATAATAAACTGCAACAATAATGTGTATTCTTTATGATTGGTATATTGGAGCGGTCACGGCTGGATTTGCGAGTAGGGTGTTAAGCTATCCCCACTTTTGTGGCGGCGTGCATATTACATGAGTATTTATGCACGTTTGGCGGATTTAGCTTAACACAAATCATCTTGACTCGCGCCGCTGTTAACAGGGCGCAGATGTAACATGATTACGTTGATAATTCTGGAATCGAACACAATGAACTTGTACATAATTAACATTGAACATTGATGATTTATTCAAATATTGCTTGGCTTAAACATGAGCTTACTACAATCCATTGAGTTGAATGAACTGAATATTGATTTATTGAACATTGATATGAATTGAACATTTATTGATTGAATTCAATATTGATTGATTGAATTGAACATTGATTGATTGAATTGAACCTTGATTGATTGAATTGAATATTGATTGATTGAATTGAACATTAATTGATTGAATTGAATATTGATTGATTGATTGAATTGAACATTGATTGATTGATTGAATGAATTCAATTTCGATTGATGAAATTGAATATTGATTTATTGATGCATAAGGCTGGCGCACCTGCAGAATTTGAAAGAAACGCCAGTCTTATCGTTTAAAACTTTGACATGTGTACGGTTAATATTGATTGATTGATTGTTTGTTTGCTTTGATTGGAGGTGTGCCAAAAACCAATTGGGTCGGCACCCACTGTACACATGTATTTTAAATAATTTGATCTGAACCAGCCGTGGCCAATAAATGCCAAACTTTAGAAATAAATAGTTAGGAAACAATAAATTCACTTTTGTTTTTTATAGGTAGTCTGTGATAATCGGATTTATGCAGTGAATACGTTATAAATCCATTTATCACAGCGCACCACGTGGAATGATGCGCGCGCAATATCTGCGCCAAGTATCGAAACAGTCAATTATCAACCATACTCCAAAGATACACGTTTTTGGGTGTGCTGCAAACTTTTTAGAAATTTTTTCAAATACCCACCCTTCCCAATCCCTATTTCTTAAACTTATTTTCTGTGCCTCGAGTTTTTCATTTCAGGAAAGCTACTCAAGGAGTGGAGCCATGAATCATTCTTAGACGTCGCCGTTGCCATGTTCGACCTCCCCCTTTTTTCCAACAGTGTTACACGCCTTTGTGATGGACAGTACCAAGTGCCATTAGGAGGGATTTTGCTTATCCAATCATATTGACACGCGCTGCTGTTAACAGGGCGTAGCTGTTATATGATTGCTATCAATCAATTCTAGTCAACCTCATCGTCACGGCTGGCCCTATCTATGCTTCTGTAAATAACATTGCCAAGAGCCAAGTGCCGGATGGGCGGATTTAGCTTAACACAAATCATCTTGACTCGCGCCGCTGTTAACAGGGCGCAGATGTAACATGATTACGTTGATAATTCTGGAATCGAACACAATGAACTTGTACATAATTAACATTGAACATTGATGATTTATTCAAATATTGCTTGGCTTAAACATGAGCTTACTACAATCCATTGAGTTGAATGAACTGAATATTGATTTATTGAACATTGATATGAATTGAACATTTATTGATTGAATTCAATATTGATTGATTGAATTGAACATTGATTGATTGAATTGAACCTTGATTGATTGAATTGAATATTGATTGATTGAATTGAACATTAATTGATTGAATTGAATATTGATTGATTGATTGAATTGAACATTGATTGATTGATTGAATGAATTCAATTTCAATTGATGAAATTGAATATTGATTTATTGATGCATAAGGCTGGCGCACCTGCAGAATTTGAAAGAAACGCCAGTCTTATCGTTTAAAACTTTGACATGTGTACAGTTAATATTGATTGATTGATTGTTTGTTTGCTTTGATTGGAGGTGTGCCAAAAACCAATTGGGTCGGCACCCACTGTACACATGTATTTTAAATAATTTGATCTGAACCAGCCGTGGCCAATAAATGCCAAACTTTAGAAATAAATAGTTAGGAAACAATAAATTCACTTTTGTTTTTTATAGGTAGTCTGTGATAAGTACATATAACATAAAAATATGACATGTTTATTAGGATAACATGAAATTGTTATTCCTCAAAAACCATCGCTGACCGAGGCGAACAATGGTTTTCAAGGGGTAACAATTTCACATTACCCAAAATAAACAAATAATATTTTTCTTGTTTTAGAATGCATTTGAAAGAAAACATCAAGGTGAAACGAACGTGCAAACATTCTGCACAGCCAACAATCTTTGTTACTATATATTTACATTTCCAATGTCTTTGTCCGAGATAAAATTTCAAATGGTAAAAATACTTTATTTCTACATCGATCTACTGGTTCATTCATAGGCATGGTGAAAAAAAATATCACGTGTGGAGCGGGACAAATAGAGACAGAAGCGGGGCTTGAAGCACGTGAATTTGCAGGATCAAGAGCATGTATATATAAGAAATAACTGTCAGATTTTTTGGTTTCATGACGATGATCAATCGATTGGCTTGCATGATAATTTTATGCATAAACGCCTTCGGCGTTTATGCAAATTATCACGCAAGCCACTCGATTGATCACATCATGAAACCAAAAAATTAGACAGTTATTCCTTAAATATACTGTTACCCTTAGTCATGCATTTTCAACCATTGGGATGTAATGTTTGGCATGCAGTAGGGTAATAGTACTTGTTAACAAATGTTTTTAAACCAAATTTGACTATTTAACAGGAAAGTATATGAAAAATTTAACTAGCATTATGGTGCTGAGAGTAACCATGGTATGTGAGCTTGTGTGAACTTGATCCTGAATTATTATGTTTTGAATATTGTAAAAGAAATGTGCAGCCAAAACTTTGACCTGTACCTGATTTAGATGGAGCCTTCTTGGAAGTTGTCACACTGGTTACGAGTATAATAACTGGGATCTGCTTCATTTGCAGATACATGGATAACACATTCACTCAAAGCACTGTCCCTTTTTCAGTACCTTGTGCAGCCCTGTAATATATAATGACATATGGAGAAAAATTCTATTTCAAGAAAAATATATCTGTCATAATTGTAGGAGTATTGGAAAGGGGGGAAGGGTGTCATGAAGCTTGGCAGTTAATATGTGTACATGAAAAAAATACCTTCTTTTTTGTAGAATAAAAAATGATTTTTTTTTTAGTGTGTGTGACTATTTTTATTTCTGGATAGACCATGTAGACAGGGTAGACTACAGAATGAGCTGTCCATTTTTATTCATTGTAGTAATAAAAAAAATAGAATGTGTTCTCTACAAGGATCATGTGTTATCGACGTGGTAATCAACTTTGTATTCCCATGGTCGATGCATTCCCGATCTCATGCACACCTGTCCAATACTCCAAAATAGACCCTTGTAAGCTAAATCAATGCAATAAATTTCTGAAACCAATCTGTAGATAAGCTTACCTTTTGAATACAGACTATTTTATCATTAAAACGATTTAATTTTCCCTTTATGCTTAAGTATGTTGGCTAATCTTGGTCCGCTCAGAATGGCTTGTGTTTACGTCATGTAATGAAAAAATAAAGCAATTAAACGCTATTTACCTGCATCTATCGATCCATTTTCTCCTCTTCTTTGCAACAATCGGGAATCAAAACAAACTACAAGTTTTATAATTCCACTGCGATGCTTACAACTTAAAGCGAAACAGTAATCCATTGTCTCCAAGAACGCTCAGGTACCCGGAAGTTTAAAAACGAAAGTGAAAGTAAACGAGACTTACAGGCCCTATATTTCCGTAAAGACTTTTATCACATGAATTTGGAAATAGCCAATTTAAACCATAAAATGTATTTCGGGATACTTTTGTAATCATAAACAACTTCCTTCATAAATTCGTTAAATTACATTCACTCTGGTAGTAGAAGCCAAGATTTCTTTCCACATTACCTAAAACATTGATCTTAAATTAAAAAAAAATAATTAAGACAAATAAAATTAAGTTGAGACTCCATTCTTTACAAAATTACAAGGTGTGGCCAAAGTTAAAACCAAGGAAAGACAAACAGATCAAGACAATGATACAGTGATGTACTTTAATTCATTACTCTATGTATTTCTTACAGATTGTTGGACTTTTGTCAGTAGACTCTGTTGCCTCCATTTCTGAACCACTTTCATTTTGTTGACCACCAGACTCAGGTTGTAGTTTGTACTCTCATGTTCTCTCAGTTTCTCAGATTTAGCTAAATACCTCTGTAGTAAGTCATCATCTGGAAAATATAATACTCTTCATATGAATGTCCTACACTGTGTACCTAGGACTTAACTATACTTTTTACAAACAATGGAATAAAATAACTGGAATAATAGAAAAAAAATTCTTAAAACATATTTGTGCATACTCTCTTTTCAGTGTTCAAAATAGCTATCTGATTCACTTGTTTATCATACATCAAATATGTCTAAAAATTAATGAAGTTTTCTTTTTATTATATAATACTGTAGCTATTTTTTTTACTGCATAATGTTTAATATTTCCATGTCCTATTATAACAGCAATACAAAAATCTTATTCTGGTCTACAAAGTAAACTTTACCATCTTTCCTCTCCTTGGCTTCATCCATTTCTCTCAGAGCTTCTCTTCTCGTCTCCTCTATCTTCTCACAAACATCATCAAATAACTCATTCCTTAACAGGAGGGAAAATTTATTAATTATCAAACATCTATACTTTAATGATATGAGAAATATTCTTTTATGCTATTTACATAGTGTTATATATAATTTTTTTTAAATTTTCATCTTTATTATCCTAAACTCTGTCTAAAAAAACCCGCACTGTGTACCTTGTTGTGTTTTTCAACATACTGGAAAGTATGAACAGTAGGCTTAACAGAAATTTAATCCAGTTTACAACCACCTATGACAATAAATGATGGTTTTTACCTGAATTCATCCAGTTTGTTTTTGACCACTGATGAGGCCTCGAGGAGGTTCTTGATGAGGTCCCTGTATTCCTCCTTTACTCGCTCCCTACAGTCTTGCTCCATGCTCATAGAGCTCTCCCTCATCTCATGGATCTTAGCTCTCAGTGCAGTCACCTCTGTATGCAAATATAATTATATATATTTACTTATATATTTTTTTATACAGAAATTTGAAGTTTCTAAAACCTTTTGGCTTTCTATCTGTGTTATATATGACTTTTTGGTATTTTTAGAGAAAAATGTAGGATTTTTTTGTAAAGAGAATTTTAGAGACTACTGACCTTGTAGAAGGTCATGGACATGTGTTCCAAGCAGACACTGGACATCCACCATTGTGTCATGTTGAATGGCCTTCAGGGCATCTTGGAGATGTTTTACCTCCTGAAACATAAATACAGTCCATTAACATCAAGAAAATCCTTGCTAAATACATGTATGTCTCAGATCTCATATCAGGAATGCCTAGAGTTGTTTTATTTTAAGAAAACTGTACATGTACCTGCTCTTTTGAGTAGAGTAGTGTATGATGGACTCGGAGCAAATTTTCATAATACATCGTGTAGCTGAAAGAAAAAAAACATTAATTTTGTTTGAAAATACAAACTTAGCCTTTTAAAAAAAAAATCAAATGAGCCAAGCATATTGTCTGATGAAGTTTCAATAAAAAACCTGTACTATGTTTTCTTCAGATTAAATCTATAGCTATAGAAATGAATGTCCTTTGCCATAAGAACAATGTACCTATCAAAGTTATGCCTTTCTCTGGTCATGATATTTCTGGCCAGCTCACTGACACACTCATTCAGGTCGTCATGGCCGATGGTGAAATCTCCAGACTCTGTCTCGTTCATTTTCTTCTTGAGTTTTGTGACAAAATCTTCAGCAATCAGTGGTTTGGCAAGAGTAAAACTCTCCTTCATAACCTGATCAGGAGACAGAAAAAAATGAAATTAACAATGCTCTAAAAGTCTGTTGACATAAGTGGAGGCTGCCTATTAAAGAAAATTAGCCAATTAACTGTTATCTTGGTTCATTTCCATAATTTTCTAAATGTTTGGTGGTAGAATAGACTGAAATTAACAGTCATAACCAGCTCTAATACCAGTAAAAAATGTATCGAAAGTTACTATACAAAAACTTAGGTCACATAATATATCTTCATGAAGGTATGTTATAATACATGTAAGTACAAACTTACAGGTCTCTTCCACAGATCTGTTGCTAGGTTGCTCTCCACGCGCACCCTCTCAGCTGTTGCTAGAGTTGCTTCTTTGTCAATCTTCTTACGAATTTCTGTGATCATGTGGCACTCAAATGTCTCCAACAACTTCACAAGCTGTAATGAGATATTAAATTTATATTCTATACTTCTATATTAGGCCTAAAGTATTAAGATAGAAGGAATCACTACAAGGAGAACAAGCTTCCAAGTAAGGTATTAGGATTAAAAAAGAGAAGAAAGTTTCTTAGAAAAATTAGAATCTTAAGTTTTGACTTTCATGACTTCTCTCAGCTTCAAAAAGATCTAATACACTGTAGGGTGATGATAGATTTCTAATGCAGTAGAGTAAATCTGAACTGCCTTTATAGTAGAATCAAAATTTTTAGTAGAGTAATCCATACCTTATTTTAAGAAAAATGATCAGAAAATTAGATTTTTTTTTAGACATCTTTTAAAAAACACAAAAATTATCACTCTTTTTTCACAATTACACATCAAACAAAATAATTCCAGAACACCAACAAGTCTTCAATAAATGACTTGCTGTTGATTTTTCTTTTCTTTTTTTTAATTAAATAATAAGATTAATATTCATGTGGTTAGAGGCTTACATTTTGAGTATCATAACAACAAATACTTCTGAAATAAACTTTTTCTTATAGTTTATATAAATTTTGTTGACATCTTGAAGTATTTGAAATTATTATTATGCTTTAATGATGGCATTTAAGAGCAAACACCTATCCTATATCAAATTATTAAATCTTCCCTTTACTTTTTTACGTTTACCTGTTTTGATCTGATTTCAATCTCAGAAGCACCTTTAGGCATAACAAGTGGGTCAGTTTCCATGGCAATGCCCTCATACAATTCACCTTGACCCAGTCTCCTAGCAACACTTTGTAGGACTGGTAATAGCACCTCAGTTTTGTATACTTTGCTGAAAGAAAATCATTTAAAAATAACAGTCAGTAACTCAAGCACATGAAAATAAACATGACCATTAGCCAATTTGCTGCCCCCCCCCCCCCTTTAAAAAATCTTCAAGAATAAATGCAGTATTTCCAATAGCTGTAAATAATTATGAAACTTAGCTGCATTTTTCAAGAGATTTGAAAACAACTGATAATATTATGACCATACAATTAAAAAATTATCAGTACCAGACACACTGAAAATATGAAAATCTGACTATATGATACAGGGCCTCAAAAGTGCTCATACCAACAACCCCAAACTTCTGAATGAATTATGTTTGATTGACCTCCTATTTCATAGGTTCTCTCTCATACTATCCTGTATGAGTATAGTGAATATGAGGTCACTAAGTTACTATCCTATACCAGTATAGTGAATATGAAGTCATTAATGTACAACAAACTTGTTACTGCAAAACGCAAATAAGTATTCACAGACACAAGTTATTTTGGTCTTTTGAACTTGGTTTCTGATACTTTGAGCCCTATAAATCCACAAGTTAGAAAATTTAAATATCCTTAACCACTTGTAAAAATATGAAGTAATTAGGGTTACAAGCATAACAATAATTATTAAATTAACCTGGATCTTACAAAGTAAAGCCAAGATCCAAAGGGCATCTTCCTCAATCAATATTCTTCATGTGTAGTTAATGTGAAGACTTAAGATTAAAAGAACTAAAACCATGTCACATGAAAGTATTCACACACTTCTCTTAATATGAAATTTGTTTATATACTGTGACCCCAATTCTATCCAGTTTCACTTAGAACATACTGCTCAGTTAATGTCATATAACATTGTTGACAGACACATGGGCATACAGTGATAAAATAGAGGGCACCTGCATTCTGATGTGGAGCCCCGAGTGGAATAAACTTCTTGTATACAAAAATCTCATCTTTTTAAATATACTCCATGGGTAGATGTACAGAGTTTGTGTCGTGCTAACTTACCAATATTCTTTAAACAGGGAGGGTTTATTGATTTCCTCCACAAAGAGCTTTCTCTTGCCCCAGGCATATTTAGCATGTTCTAGACACTTCCAGAGAATAAGGAAGAACTTGAGAAGTTTGTATGCCTCCACTGGCTCCTTGGTCCGAGACAAGCTCTTAGGGGTCTCTGAAATATGTATCAATGACATAATTGATAAACTAGACTATACATAGCAACATCACATACATGTGTAATTAGAAATTATACACAGGTATAAAACAAATTTAAATGTGCATAAAAAAAATCTGCATTTTTACTGGTAAATTGAGAAATCCTTCTTAACACAGAGTACATTACAGAACTTAAAATAGGTATACAAAGTTACATATTTAATTTAATATAAATGCTGCTCTACAGTTTTTAGCAAACAGTCAGTAATTTACATTTAGTATTCTACACATAACCACTAAAGGATTGAAAATGCTATATATGTATATCCAAAGCAGACTTTGTCATCAACTGAGAAAAAGACCAAGTTTCTTAGTATACAGTATGATATAAGAAAGAGCATATTTATAATATGAAAAAATATTTCATCAATAACATTTCAGAATATTATATCACAAAGAAAAAAAAATTAAATTTGAATCAAATAAAAATTCAAAATATCAAGGAAAAGCTGAATACAATGTTTCAAACAGAAGAAATTGTACAGTCCTTCCTTCACCAAGCTAGAGTTACTTCCCTTAGTCTCTAATCAGTTTGGTTTAATTAACATTGGTTAATTACTGATACCTCCTCTATGGATATGTGCATGTTTTCTAAACTCAACCACAGCAGTTAAAGCTGTCCAACCTACGGAGGTCAGGAATTTATGAAGCAAGAATGCATCAAATGAATCACAAATGACAATTTACAAATATATCAATCTTCCATTAGATTAATAGATAGCTCAGTATATCAATAAGAAGGCACCTAAGAAATGGTCTTCATAATTTTTTTTTTTTTTAGAAATACATGTACTACAGAGTGTTTATAAATTGGTGAATAGGGAATTTACTAACAAATTACAAAGAAGTTGGGTGTGTTATATTAAGTGATTTATAATTTTTTTCAAATGAAAATCAAATATACAAAAGACATATGTACTGTATTATGCAAAACTAAAAAAAACTGAGTCATGATCTATATTAGATGCTTTACACATCTACTATTAGCAAACATGCAACATGCTTCATATACAAGTAAGTACACTGACAAGTACAATTGTTTATGCAAAACAAAACTTTTTTCCATCATTCTGGAATATATACACAAATATTGATTCAAAATTGTCTTTCCAAAAATCTAATTTAGGTGTAAGGCACAAAATTTGATTATTAGAGCACCCCTGCCCAAGCTCCATACCTGCTTTGGAGGATATGCTGCCAGTGGGTGTCTGTATGTCCAGTCTGCTCGCCCCTCTGGAGGTTGTTACTGAGCCCTCCTTTTTCTCAGATCTTGCTGTCTCGAGATCGTCAGCATCACTGAGATGTGAGATATCCTGATAGCCAGTTTGTAGGACATCCTCCATCAACAAGCTCACCCCAAGTATCTCACCATTAGCTACATGTCTAAAAATATAGTGGAGCTAGATAACCACACTGTTTGAAACATTATCACCTTTATTAATTTTCCATGGCATTTGATTGTGGCATGAGACTTACACTTTAATATCATGCCGTCAACAATGCATGTTTTAATTCTTATATAGATATACATGTATATCTATTTGAACACCTGATAGAGTCAAAAGCAAAAAATTTGTCTGTTTTTTAAACTTTATGCATATTTTTAACCAATCAGACAAGCTGTCTGGGAAAAAAACAAACCTGTCGACATCCTTCAGTCCTGAGAGACACAACTGTATGTAGTGTTCAATCATGTGCCACTGGTAATACATCAGGGGGTAGGGACCATTCCTAGAAAATTAATAACATAGTTTTGTAATTATAGTAAACTGTACATATTGAACATACATTTTATTACTTAACTGACAATAAAACACTTATAATCTTATAAGCACATGACTGTTTCTTTAAACAGTATTATTTATAACCATTATGGGGAAATACTAAGATTTAAAACTGGCAGCAATTTTCCCCTCTCAACAGGTTTTTTGGTTGTCTTGGCTGTCTCATCTCTCACAACATTAATATCTTACCTTCCCAGGAAAGATCTCCATGGAAACAGTTCTCGAGCCTGGAAGTCTCTGGGCTCCAGTGGTTCTGGTACAGTCAGACACATGGCTTGTAGGGTCGGTCTCTGGACATTACTCAGGTTTGGCAGGGCATGGTATATGTTGTTTTTCAAGGACTATAAAATTATAGATTTCAGTGAAAGGGAGTGACATTGACAACAATATGCTTTGTTAAATCTCTAATCAAAAGATCCATTTCTTTAAGACATATCTTTCTTTTTTTATTCATGAAAACTCTTGTAATTTTTGTCCAAAGAGTAACTACGTTATATGGAAAAAACATATCATGCATGTATTTTGTTACTCTATTGCAGTTGTGCAACATCAAGAATCCATGAAAAAAAATTCTGACAGACACACTCTGAAAAAAATTTTTTGGTGCTTTTTTCTGTTTTTTTCCCCGAAGGCATTAAGTTTCCCCCATCTTTACATATTCATTTTAATTTAAGGACAGAAACAAATCAATGCAGCACAGGAATATTTAAAATAACACTAATCATTATAAAGGTCTATTTATACTCATATATACTCCAAGAAAATCTATTTCCTGGCCAGAGTGACAACATGTGGTATAAGGTATACGTTTATACTTTTTGGATTCAAAGTGCTTACATTGAATGACTGTACATTCCCTGTTGATAGAAACGTATCCATCATACAATGTCTGACAGCGGTGTCAAACTCCAGAAACATGACATCCCGTCTCATGGCCAGGAAGTCCGCGATGGTCCGGGGGTCTGTGGGGTGGGGCAGGTTTTCTATCTGCTTCTGTATCTCACGTAACTCAGCACCTACAAAATAACAGTGTTGTGGACTAGAGGAATCATTTTTGCGTACACTAATTACAGGTAGTACATCAGCCATAGTGTAATCAAAGATTACAAAGATTAAAAGAGTTTAAATGCCACAATGAATATAACAGTGGGTCAGTGGATAAATATCCTGTCTTTTAACAGGGTTTGTAGTCTCTGAAAACTTATTTAACCCTGATTCAAGACCAAGACATGCACATGACATATGTAGAAATAAATACAAGTTCTCTGTATGTGCAATCAAGTAAGTTCTGAAATATAGCAATGAATAATGGTTAATAATAATTAGATCCAAAAACATTCAAAGTGAATTACAAAATAGTAGGTGGTAGTCTTGTCAACACAGGCGCAGATCCAGATATTTTTTCCAAGGCGGGGGTGGGGGTGGGGGGGGCATCCAGTCCCCCCCCCCCAAAAAAAAAAATTTAATCTAACCACGAAGTCCAAAAAAAAAAGAAAGAAAAAGAATAATAATCCAACCAAGAAGTTTACCAACAAGCAAAAATAAGAGGCCCATGGGCCACACTGCTCACCTGAGCACTTTGGCTAAAGCCAAACAGAAATCAGTTCAGCATTGCAAACTTAAAATATATAAAGTGGCTCCACCTTTCCTGCTCTAGGGAGGGGTAGAGGAAGGGGCTATGATTGAAACAAACTTGTACCCTTCACTGAGGATGCTTTCATATTTATATGCCTAATCATGACTTTAAAAGATTTTTTTTGATTTTCTCATATATATTCCTATGTAAAAGTTTTATCTAATGTGGCCCCATCCTATCCCCAGGATCATGATTTGAAGAAAAACAAGAGGCCCATGGGCCACATCGCTCACCTGAGCACACTGGCTTGGCAAAAGCATGATTCAGTTCAGTATTGAAAAGATTACTGGGGGGGGGGGGGGGGGGGGGCTTGAATTTTAAACTACCTGATGTCATGCTTCCATGTCAATATAACAAATGGATTTGTTGTACTTGAGAAGATTTTTTAAAAAATTTCTCATATATTCCTTTGTAAAAATTTGATCCCCCATTGTGGCTCCTCCCTATCCCAGGGGTCATCATTTGAACAAACTTGAATCTACACTACCTGAGGATGCTTCCATATCAATATGACTAAACAAAGCTTTTCTGTTCTTGAGAAGAAATATTTTTCCTATATGTTCTTATGTAAAATTTTTGATCCTGCATTGAGGCCCGTCCCTATCCCCGGGGGTTATCATTTTAACAAATTTGAATCTACACTACCTGAGGATGCTTCCATATCAAAATGACTAATCATGGCTTTGCAGTTCTTCATCAGAAGATATTTTCCTATATATTTCTATTTAAGACTTTGATCCTCCATGTGGCCCACCCTAACCCCGGGGGTCATGATTTGATCAATATAGAATCTACACTACCTGAGGATGCTTCCATAAAAATATGACCAATCAGGGCTTTGCTGTTTCTGAGAAGAAGATTTTTAAAGGTTTTTCCTATATACTTCTATGTAAAACTTTGATAGTCCATTGTGGCCCCGCCCTACCCCCGGGGGTAATGATTTGAACAAACTTGAATCTACACTACCTGAGGATGCTTCCATATAAATATGACTCATCATGGCTTTGCTGTTCTTGAGAAGAAGATTTTTAAAGATTTTTCCTATATATTTCTATGTAAAACTTTGATCCTCCATTGTGGCCCCGCCCTACCCCCGGGGGTCATTATTTGAACAAACTTGAATCTACACTACCTGAGGATGCTTCCATATAAATATGACTCATCATGGCTTTACTGTTCTTGAGAAGAAGATTTTTAAAGATTTTTCCTATATATTTCTATGTAAAACTTTGATCCTCCATTGTGGCCCCACCCTACCCCCGGGGGTCATGATTTGAACAAACTTGAATCAACACTACCTGAGGATGCTTCCACATGAATTTCGTCTTTCCTGGCCCTGTGGTTCTTGAGAAGAAGATTTTTAAAAGATGCTATTAATTTTTCACTAATTCTTTATCATCTCCTCTTGAAAGAGGGTGTGGCCCTTCATTTGAACAAACTTGAATCCCCTTCACCCAAGGATACTTTGTGGCAAGTTTGGTTGAAATTGGCCCAGTAGTTCTGGAGAAGAAGATGAAATTGTGAATAGTTTACAACGACGACAACGACAGACAATGGACAAAGTTTGATCAGAGAAGCTCGCTTGAGCCTTTGGCTTAGGTGAGCTAAAAATTGAATCTTCACTACCTATCAATGCTGCCACATTAATATGACCAATCATGACTTTGCTGTTCTTGAATACTATGGGGGGGGGGGGGGGTCATGCTTTGAACAAGCTTGAATCTACACTACCTAAGGATGTTTCCATATTAATACAAGAGGCCCATGGGCCACATCACTCACCAAGCAGTTTTGTAAAAGAAAAGCAAAAATCAGTTCATTATTGAAAAGGTCCCACCCTATCCAAGAGGGTAGGGGATAGGGTCATGATTTGAACAAACTTGAATCTACATTAAATGAAGATGCTTCAATATTTATATGACTAATCATGGCTTTATAAGATTTTTACTGAGTTTCTCCTATATATTCTTATGTAAATTGTGGCTCAACCCTATAGCCCTAGGGTCATGACATAAACTATCCTGAATCTGGGTGAATTAAAAAAAAAAATGACCAAACGTATATTTTTCAACCCACACTAAAAATACAGGCAATGAAAATAGATTTCTATGTCTCAGCATATGTCTTTAGATAGTGTCTAAATACCTGCCAAATATCTCGTTGATATCTCAATTAACAAGAAAGTTATGCCCAAAAATGATACTAAAATTGTCAGGAGTGCAACACCTTTTTGTGACATTTTGAAATTTCAATATTTTTTGGATTTCTGTGAAATAAAAAATAATGCTTCATGTTGAAAATAAAGAATTTCCTGATAATATTCAAAGTATTGAGCTTTAAATGTGGACTGTCATAACTTTTGTTTAATCAGGTTGTGGTCATGGCCGATGTTTAAAAAAATGTTATACCATGTCAGGAGTGCAACAGAAAAAATGTACTGTTGCCAAAAAAACATCAATTGTAAAATTCCGATAGAAAATTAAGACAAAAAAGAATTTTGGAAGTGTGAAATAATAACTGATATACATTTTAAAACTTAAAAATGTTATATAAATCACAAGCAGCATTAATGAGAGTCAAGTATATGTGCATACTCAAAAACATTATTTGATGTTTTGCTCCCAAGCACTCAAAAACTATTATCATTATATGATTTTCTGATTTTTATTTTGGAAAATAAAGACACAAAGAACATTTTTACCATATAGATTTATCAATTATAGGATCTGTCTGTGCTTCAGATCCATATTTCTATGGTGGAGTGCAACACATTTTTTTAAAGATTCAAGTTGTGTGACGAAAAGACTTCTTTTCATGCTTAGAAGTATTCATTAATTAATAATGATCTTTTTGTATAATTTAATGCTAAATTATTGACAGATTTATTATTAAAATCCTTCCTTTTTCAATTTTATCAATTCAGATGTGTTTTTATCTTTTTTGTGATTTTTTAATGAACGTTAAAAATAAACACACTAAAACATTGTCATAAAATTTGAGTAATTCCTCCTCAACTTCACTGAAACAACAGAACAAGTTCTTATGTAATTTTCATTTCACAATTCTACTTTAAAGGCCCCAATGCTTTTGGTCAGGAGTGCAACAAATATGTTAGAATTATAAATCATCAAATAAGAATAAAAACTAGAAACTCATTACTAGTAATGAGAAGGTCTTCCGTTATACTACTTCCTGTTTGCATAAACATGTCTTTTCCAACGTCGGTATAAGCCTAAAACTGATGTAGAAACAAAATAACTTAAAAAAATTACTTTTTTCTTCATTTCCTGTCACGACCGGAAGTAATGACGACAGACGATTTTTACATGATGCAAATGAACTGATGACTGACTATAAGTCCTGAAAGTTTTAGACTTCAGTCTTTTACTCTTACCGAGCAACTGTGAGAACACATTCTAATTTTGGGGACAGGAAAACACACGACCGGAAGTGAATTGAATAAAAATCTCTGAATTTTCTCATGACATTTGTAGTATCTACAGCATATGTATAAAAAAAACATTTCAAATATTTATCTTTAAGTGATATTTATGAGAAAGCTAAACATCGAAATAACGTAGTTTATCTCTTTAAACCGGAAGTTTACAATTTTTGTTTCCGGTGGAATCTAACATATTTCAAAACACGAAAGAGATGCAACAAAGTGATGCAAGTTATAATTTTATAAAGAAAAGTGGAAATTTTCGATTTTTTGATCACTTCCTGTGACGACCGGAAGTGACGGCTGACGCGTCTAACCCTATGTGTTTTGCCTACTCCTCAAGGTCTATTACTCATTTAAGTTTGGTGTCTTAATCTCATGCCGTTTCCGAGATCTCGCTCAGATAACTTTTCATTTTGAGGACAGGAAAAACACGCGACCGGAAGTGAATTTTACTAAGATTTTTGACGTTACTCTAGACATTTGCAGTCTGAATAACATATCTAAAAATCTTTTCAAATACTTTATCTACAAAAGATATTTAAGGGAAAGTAAATTACTCAAATTATGTAGTTTTCCTCTTCTAACCGGAAGTTGTAATTTTTGTTTCCGGTGGGACTGACATATTTCGAAACTACACATGAGATGCAATAATGTGATGCAAAAAATAATTCAAAAAAGAAAAGTTGAAATTTTCGATTTCTTTGATCACTTCCTGTGACGACCGGAAGTGACGGCTGACACGCTTAACCCAAATGGGCTCGCCTACTCCTCATGATATATTACTCGTATAAGTTTGGTGTCTTAATCTCTTACCGATTCTGAGATCTCACTCGGAAAAAATATTTTTGAAAAAAACGGAAATCGGACATATCTGACGACCGGAAGTGAATTTTGAAAAAATGAAAAAAACGCCTCGGGGTATTTTCATTCTCTAT